CCGCCACCTTCCCGCCGAAATCTGCCTCAAGATCCTCAGCTCTCTCGACCCCGTGTCCCTTGTTAGTGTGCTGCAGACCTGTCGGGCCTGGTATGACCTGGCCGTGGATCGGAAGCTGTGGGAGCGACTGTACTACCTTGAGGGCTGGAAGGCTGTGCAGACCGAGATCGATGCGTGGGAGGTCAGGGTCAACACGGGCGTCAGCAACTCGATAGGGCATCTGCATAGAATGCAAACGTCGGATCACCACCCGAACAAGATTCGTGCCATACTCAACAATGATGACGACGACGAGGACTTGGAGATGGTGGACCAGGACAGGCTGCCCAGCATCGTCGATACCAGTGCTGGCGCCAGCCTATTCGGATCTGGCGGTGGGCTGCAGCCTTCGAGGCAGACGCTGCCCTCCTTGGGCGACATGCACCTGGACAGCTTCTCGTCTGCCAAGGGCAAGGCGGTAGATCGGGGCCTTGGGTCGTCGTCGTCGGAAAGCAGAGCTAAGCGCAAAGAGCCCGGCGGCACCCCCGAGATGGCGCTGCCCTCAATCGAGACGGGCGACGCCACGGCGTCCATGATCAAGTCGACTCTCTGGACTTGGGATATCAACAGCTCGCGGTATCGCATCAACTGGAAGTACCTGTATAACATGAGGCGGCGCCTCGAATCGAACTGGGAGCTAGGCAAGTACAAGACCTTTGTGCTACCGCATCCCAGCTACCCGGAGGAAGGCCACCAAGAGTGCGTCTACACCCTGCAGTTTGACGCAAACTACCTCGTCAGCGGCAGCCGAGACCGCACGATGAGAGTCTGGAACATGCACACGCGCCGGTTGGTCCGCCCGCCCCTGACCGGCCACACCGGCTCCGTCCTGTGTCTTCAATTTGACGCCGACCCGGCCGAGGACATCCTCGTCTCTGGCAGCAGCGATTCAAACGTCTTCATCTGGAAGTTTTCCACCGGAGAGCTGGTGCAGAGGATCACAAACGCCCATCGCGAGTCTGTCCTCAACGTCAGATTCGATAAGCGCGTCCTAGTCACGTCTTCCAAGGACAAGACCATCAAGATTTTCAACCGCCGGCCGTTGCGGTACGGCGACTTGGGCTATGGGGAAGTAGACGAAGCCGTCAACCCCGTCGGCATGAGCGTCAAACCCTACGGCTACGAACCGGATCTTTCCCAGGAGCTGCCCGTCAAGCCCCCCTACACCGTCATCGGCAGACTGGAGGGACATGGCGCTGCCGTCAACGCCATCCAGGTACGCGGCAGCACCATCGTCTCCGTCTCTGGCGACCGTCACATCAAAGTATGGAACTGGCCGGAACAGGTCTGCACACAAACCATCCCGGCACATGAAAAGGGCATCGCCTGCGTCGAGTTTGATGAGCGCCGAATTGTGAGTGGTAGTAGCGACTACGAAGTTTGCATTTTCGACGCGCCAACCGGCCTCAAGGTGGCCTCCCTCCGAGGACACGCTCATCTCGTCCGAACAGTGCAGGCGGGCTTCGGCGACTTGCCGTACAGCCGCGAGGAGGACGCGGCAGAGGCCAAGAGAGTGGACGCCGAGTACTTCAAGGCCGTGGAGGCTGGGGAGATTGACCACGAGGGCGACCGCAGGGTTCGTCGCGCCAGGAGGATAAACGCAGGAAGCTCTCGACCGGCCGATCTCCAGGCGACTGGTGCCAAGGTCCCGCCGGGCGGAGGCGGCGGACGTAAATATGGACGCATCGTTTCGGGTTCCTATGACCAGAGCATCATCATCTGGCGGCGCGACAAGGAGGGCGTGTGGAAGCCTGCGCACCATCTGCGCCAGGAAGAGGCCGCCGAGGCCGCACACAGGCAAGTCGCCCTGACCAACGCCCATCGTCAGGGCACTCAGCTTGCGTCGGCAGCCATTGCCGTGTCGCCGGTGCATCCCGGGGCATCGCAAGGCATGCAGTCGTCGCCCATTCGCGACCCAAGCGGCGAGCACAGCGGGGCGGCGCGCATCTACAAGGCCATGATAGACCAGGTCGTCCCCATTGGAGCTGCGGCTCTGAGACAGGCACTGGCGAATCATCCATCCGTGCTCATCTACCATGAATACCTGCAAGCCGCGATTGAACGGGAGCCCTCGCCCTTTGTCAGATCGCACCTTAGGCAGGCGGTGGCGGATGGCTTGATTGCGATACAGAACAACCAGTCGGCCAGACAGCGCCTCATTGCTCGCGGCAACGCCCACATCCTAGCTCCTCTTACCGTCGGTGGGGGAGCCGCAGGCCTGGTTCCCGGATATCCTGGCACCGCAATGGCAGGGTCCTCTTCATCTACAGCCGTGGACATCAACGGTGGCAGCAGCACTGATCATCGACAGCCGGCATACTCTCCACTACCAGCACCACAGACACATCCATCCACTCCTCTCCACGCACCTGTGCCCCAGCCCTCTCAACTTTCCATCCCTCCCGGCCAGGGGCCTCCTCCTCTGCTTCCGCCCATCGTCCAACCCGAACATACCGGCACTCAGGCGGCCACGGTCGAAATGGCGGACGCCGTACCAGCTTCAGGGCAACACCCGCGCATCGTGGCGGCTGAAAACCCCCCGGCACGCGTCTTCAAGCTGCAGTTTGATGCCCGCAAGATCATCTGCTGTAGCCAGGCGCCAGTCATTGTAGGCTGGGATTTTTGCAACGGCGATCCGGAACTGGAGGAGGTTGCTCGCTTCTTCGCAGCGATTGATTAAAGGGCGTTTGCTGGGCTCAGGGAAGATTGTCACTGAAATGAAGACGAAAAGTTTTTTTTACGCAACGTTTCATCGCCCAGGACGCAACATCTCGTCGGGAGGAGTTTAGGAGGGGAATAGTGACTTGACATATCCATCATCGTATTTTTTTTTGTGCTTCGAACAAAAAGAAGGAGAAAAAGAGAGAAAAAAAAAAACAGAGCGTTGGGACTGCATTACTGTAACTTGCATTCCCGGCGTTTCGACAGTTCGCCCGGCGTTTGTATCATGTTGTAATTACTCGAATGTGCGGACACATTACGGACAGGGCTTGGGTGGGATGGTAATTAGGTATAGTAGGCAGTAGATGGCATTAGATACTTTTGTTGTTTCTGTTGGGGGTGAGCAATACGAAGAGCATGATGAAACTCGAGAGATGCTACATCTTTGCCTATCCCGTGTTGTTTATTTACATGGCCTTGAATGTGAAACAATGGACTTGAGCTTGACGATGCTGTTTTTTATGTTTATGAGGAGACAAATGAGAGAGCCACGCCACGCCACGCCGCGCCACGGAACGATACAATAGGCTGATATCAAGATGCTGAATGAAAGAGAAACTAAATTGACAAAAGACGATTGCTAACCCGCAGCCTGCTTGACCTTTTCTTCCGTCTGCGGCGGCTCGTCGACAAACTCGGGCACGACCTCGTCCTGCAGGAACCCCGGCACAGCCCCGGCTCCGTACTCCTGCTCCAGCTCGGCCTCCATGCCCAGCGCTTCAAGCTCAGCATCTAGCTCGGACTCGTCGACCTCATCAGGAATATCATAGCCCCGTGCGAGGCTCTCCTGGATCTCGTTGCCGACGTCGAGCAGGTCGGCCATCTCGTCCTGCAGGCGCTCAATCTTGTCAATGTCGATCTTGCCGTACTGCTTGCGCAGCTCCTTGTTGGTGGTCTTCATGGCGTCGACCTGGGTCATGACGTTTTTGAGGTTGTCCTGCATGCTCTGCGCCTGCTCCATGTTCCAGACCTGGCTCTCGAGCTTGTCCTTTTCGGCCTCGTAGGCCTTGCGGCGCTGCAGGACCTTGAGGGCCTTTTGCTTGATGGCTTGCTTGCCGGGGCCGTCGCGCATCTTGGAGAGCTTTTCTTGGTAGGCGGAGAGTTCGCCGTTGAGGGCCTTGAGCTTGGTGTCGATGGAGGCGATGCGGGTGTCGATGCTCGCGACGGCGCCGCTGAGGGTGGGCTTGGGGCCGGTGGGCTTGGAGCCGAAGAGGCGGTTCATGGTGATGATTTCCTTTTGGTTTGTCCTTTTTACTTTTTTGGGGATTGTCGGCGGTGAGAGTTGAGGGTTTTCGATGCGATGAGGCTGAAGGTGCTGCCTGTGTTTGCGCTGACGAGGAACTGGATGACGTTGGACAGTGACGAGGCTTCAGGGAGTTTGTAGGCTCTGTCGGGAGGGTCTTAGAGGGGCGAGACCCCACTGGTGCATTTCTGCAAGGCTGAGCTTGATGAGTCAGCGGACGACTTGCCTTGCTCAATTGAGTTTGTGGAGAGACAGGCGCTCAGAGGTAGCAGTTGTAGAAGAGAAAGAGAATTCGATTGCGGTAAACGCTTGAATTCAGAGTGGATTGCGGGCTTTGTTCGAGCTGGATGCAAGTCATGGAGAGTCAATGTTTCACTGCGCTGCGTCGCCAAATTATGCGTCAGTCAATGTCTCATGATTAATTGACCTGTGCAAGCCACTTCCTTGTAGATTCGGAGCAGTTGGCGGGATCTACGGCTAGCTCGATTGAAGCATCCGTAAATAGCATCAACTAATACCGATGTTGTACTCTATCGTAAAATGTAACACTGCTACCAACTTACACTACAGTACCTCAGTGTAAGATTCTGTATATCTGTTTTCACCGGTTTTATTTGTTTTTGTGTTTTCAATTAACAATTGCACATACGTGTTTCTCTTCAACAAACGGCCAGCCCATTAACGCGTCACGAGCCCGTTAATTGATGCCCCCTCTACGGAACCCCCACCGCCCTTCATTACCCGGTTAGGACTAGCCCGCTCCGTTTGCATCCCTATTCAGGCCCAATGTAAACAAAGATGGGCCATAATTCCTTGAATAATCTCGGCTCGCAGCTCTTATCGCGCCTCACGCACGCACTTCAAAGACACGCGACTTTTTCATGATTCACGGCTAAACGCGTGCGCGTGGGGTAGCAATTCACTCGGTGGCCTGTGCAGTTAAAGCCACACTCGCCAATTCCACATTTCGAAGCATTCCGACGCCTCAACCACAAACATGTCGAGATCGTGGAACCAGCCGTTTTGCGCCATGGACGGCACGACCAGCCCCGGATGGGGAAGCGGGAACGAGCCCGTTGTCAAGTAAGACCTGTTGCTGGACGGCATTCTGATATCTGATCGTGGGACTGATGATACGTGGCAGCAACCTTCTCCCAGCGTCGTTTGTGACGTTTTTCCCAGCGGCCCACGAGGCCAAGACGGAGATGTGCGTATCAGACCGACCGACGACGACTTCCACCTCGCCCTCGCTAGAATCCCCTTACTGGAACCAGGTACTGACGCGATTTCCGGACAGTTCGTGGGCGGACAATTTGGTCGCCCAAAAGCCAGCGACCATCCTGCGTGCGTGGTGCCGCGTGCCCGTTGCCGCTGGCCCTTCGACTCTTCGCAAGGGCATGACCATCATGAAGCGGGTGGGCCGAGTGGCCCGTGTTGTGGCGGCCAGCCAGGCCGCAGCAGAGATTGAGGTGCCAGAAGGCGCCGAGGAAACCCAGCGGGCGAACCGTCGCCGTCTTGATTCGTTTGTGCCGACGGCTGAGGCCGTGTTGGAGTTGGTGGGAGAGCCTCTGTCCAGGGCAGAGGTGGCAAGCGCCGTTATGCGCGCCAAGGGTTTGTTTCTCGCTTCTTAACCCTGACACTCGAGCTGCAATTTGCTGACTGCTTTTGTTCCATAGTGGACGTGGCAAACTGCTACCTCCATGAAGAGTACACCGACGTATCGGAGCAGAGAAACCTGGCCAAACAGAGCCAGTACACCAAGAAGACGGTCCCGTTGAGGCGCCGCTTCAACACCTACTCCTCCGTCGATTTCGAATATGCGAGCGGAGGCAATGGCTACGCCATTTACAGCGAGCTCCATCCTATACTCTCCAGAGCTATGCAGGGCGGCGTCACCGAAATCGACGTCAACATGGCATCCATCACAGAGGCTGGAGTCCACCTACGATCAATGTCTCGCAACCCACGAGTTCCTCTGGCTGCCAGCGGCATGCCAGAGCTATCAGACATCGCTGACGACAGCGAGCCGTCCAGCGTTCTGACCTTGGAGCCTAATGAGTCCATGTCCGACGCCAAGTCTCCGACCAAGCGAGCTTCTACCCAGTCCCCAAGCCCTACCAAGAGCAGCAAGAGCTTCCGCAAGAGACTCAGCGACACAATTGTCAGACTGTTGCCGGGATCCTTCCCTCGGGCTGAACCTTCTCCCATCAAGCCGTCTTCTCCTCCGACACCCAACATGGCCTTTGAAAGCCCTCGTCAGCAAACGCCCTCTATCAGCATTCCCAAGAGCCCCAGTGCATCCAAGTCGCCTTTACTATCGGCAAACTCTACTCCCGGCCTTATTCGATGGTCCAACCGCTCTTCCAAGGAATCGCCCTTTGCTCGATGGCGCCCAAAGCGCAAATCCGAACCTGCTCGTCTCTCGACCACACCTTCACCTCCCCGCAACGACTCTTCCACCTTTGACGTTAGCATGGAAGACGGCTCCATCATGTTTGGATCCCCTGTACACCAGTCTCGCCCCAACGCCCCTACTCCTTCTAAATGGAGCGGTCTTCTATCTTCTACCCCTATCCAACAGGCTTCTTCTGCAGCTGTCACGCCCGCCAATGACGGAGCGTCTCTCGGTTTGGTCAAATCCCTGCCTGAGTGGATGCAGCACACCCAGTCACCTGCGACTCTCGAAAAAAGCCACCCCAGCAACATTGATTTCCGACCCGCCTCTCCATCATTCACCAGTTCAGTTTCGTGGGTTAATGTCCCAACGGACACAATTGAAGTGGAGCGCACAAAGATTGTCAGGCGACGCAAAAGTGAGCCGCTGGTCAGAAACATGCTCAAATCTCATTCTTTGCGACGAACTTCACTTTCACCTCAGAAACCGAGATCAGGTGGGGCCATGCCCACCGTTGATGAACCAACATTTCCCAGCCATGATTCCATCTCTCGAATTCCCGAGCATTCTCAGCTTTCTAACTTCTTCAACTCTTCCGCGACTCAATCAAACACTCTATCAAACACTCTGAACAACGCTGCGACCGAACAAAACACACACATGGACGCCCAAGGCATGGAACCCCAAGGCGTGGAATCCGATGACCCGCACGGTTTTGGCCTCCTCGCGTGGAACTACAAGGCACAGATAGAGGATGTGGTGAGAGAGAGAAGAAACGCCCCTCCTCCTGTTCGCCATCCAGACGATGTTTTCGACGACCCCAACGACAGATACCGTCGTGAATCTCCTCCCCCGCACGACCCCGTGAAGCGGCTGGCCCGCTTCGCGGAAAACGGATGCTACGACAAGGCCGGCGTCACAATTGCTCGGAGGGAAGGCAGGCTTCTTGTTCAGTTTAAGCTGCCGATCAAGCACATGTACCTGTTCCCCCAAAACTACCGCGACCAGGGTTCTCCAGAGCCAGAGTCAGACGACTTCATACCCCAGTTCCACCGCGAATTCCCAGGGGAAACACCCGAGCCCCCCAGCCCCGAACATCGACAGAGATCTGAATGGAGCTCGTCGCCTCTCGCAGCGGAAGAATCTCATCTCGCTGATAAGACCCTTGTTGTTTCCGACTTTGGCGGCTCTCCTACCAAGCAAACCTCGGCGTCTGCTGAGAATGAAGAATCTCATCTCATGAACGAGACTCTCGTCGTTTCCGATTTCGGCTCGCCTGCAAAGCACTCTCCATCTCCCGACCATAAAGACTCTTATCCCAGTGATGAAACCCTCATTGTTTCCGATTTTGTTACCTCGCCTGCCAAGCGCGGCTCGTCTTCTCGTCAAAGCGTCGCCAACAGCTCACCCGCCCCGACATCGCAAAAGAGTCCCTATACACCCGCCGATCAGCTCATCATTCCTGACTACTTGACCACGTCTGAGAGAAAAGTCTACAAGCCTGGCATGGTCTACAAGCCTGACATGAACTCTCCGCCTCTCGTGCCCTCGGAACTTGCCACCAACCCAGAGCTTCCCACGAACTCAGAGCTTGCCGTTAATACCGACAGCTCGTCTCTCTCTGACCTTGAGAACACGCCACCTCTGAACGAATCGTCTGAATTGAGCATTGCCATCATGGCCGCCGAGAACGTAACAGAGCAGTCTGCCTCTGCAGATCCCGAACCATCACCCACCGATTCAACCACCACCGATGATCCTACCTCAACGTCACCCATCTCATTTACACCCGTGAACCAAGCCGGCGCTCAAAAGAAAGCAGCTAGCCCGACCCTCAGCAACAAGCAAGGCTCCCCTACCAGTCCAGAATCTGGAAGGCTATACCCCATCAGCCACGACGATACCCCTGAGCGAAATTTTCTACGCGATTTCATCAGACGTTCGAGACCCCGACGTCTTTCCACCACCGAGACCGGCTCCCCCATAGCCCCTGTGCAGCGTCAACCTCTTGGAGCTAGAAGCCCTAACATGGAGACTCAGCCAAAGGAGAAGCGCAAGTTTGAGAGCAGCGAGGGAGAAGGGAACGAGAACGAGCCGGAGACCCAGCCGGAGCCTGCCCCCAAGCGAATTCGCCGCGTCCATCGAACCACCCCGCCAAAGCCAAAGGCTGTTACTGCCATGAACCACTCGGATGATGAAGATCCCCTCGCCAAGGATGTGGCACCGACCAACGATGCTGCCGACGAGCTCGCAAACGACCAAGAGAAGAAGGAGGCCTCAGTTCCGGCTGCATCCCGCCGATCATCGCGCCTGAAGACCAAGCCAAGCGCCATCCCCAAGCCGTCGGTTCCAGCGCCCACTAGAGTCGGTCGCGGACGCCCCCCTAACGCAACCCTGGGCTCCGTGCGCAACGAACAGCAGGACTTGGTCCACCAAACCCGCGCCAACACTCGCCGTAACAAGGGGAATGCAGAGTACCCTGCCCAATTTTTGGCTCGGCACTCTGAGGAGGAAGAGGGAGAGGCAAGCCAGCAGGACGAGGCCGAAGCCTCCAAGGCCGGGCGCGGCAAGAGCGTCGTTTGGAAGGAGCCGCTGGAATCGTACCAGGAGGAGGAGAGGCCAAAGAGGGGGCGGCCGTCGGCAGCAGCCAAGGAGGCCAAGGCCAAGGCCAAGGCCAAGGCCAAGGCGGCCGGGAACCGGATCTCCAAGCCGGCGGCCAAACCCTCGGCGGCGGCGCAGAAGCAGCGGTCGAGCCGGATCGCGGCCGGCCTAGGAATGGCAGGGAACGGGACTCCTGCCCCCAAGCGCGCGACTCGCGCGTCAACACGGGCTCGGAAGTGATGGTCGAGCTGTATAGTTCCCGGTGGTTGAGCCGCAAGGTTCCCACCGGTCGAGCTATACGGCTCCCATCACTTCTGACGAAGTGGAGGGGCAGGAGGGGGAGAAAGGGGGGATAAAAAAAAATAGATAAAAAAAATCTTTCAATAGCATTGCGAGGCGTTGGAGGGGGGGCAGGGTAGGGGGGGACACCTTGTGTTTTTTTGTTTGTGTTTCTTTTCTTTTTTTCTCGCTGTTTAAGGGCATGGCACGGAACAAAGCAGCAGGAAATTCGCTGCGGGGGTTGGGGGTTGGCACATTGAATTGAACGATACTATTTGCTCCCGACTTTGATTCCCTCGATGCAATGTGACACGACATTCGGAGTACTTGGCTATGTGACTGCAGATCTGGAGATTTGCTGGCTGAAGCGTCGACCAATTGGTCGTGCTGCATGGGCCGGATGGTACTCGATGTAACCCCCCGCTTCTTGATTACTGGTGGCTGGCAAAGGTTTGTTCCTGACTAGAATCCGGTTGCATACTGAGTCTACGTGAAGCCATTTCGAACGAGACGTGGGATACGACGCGACACTGGACAAACGAAGAAGGGCGGACAAAGCAAGTCGCTCACCATGGATACAGAAACAGTCACGGCCACGACGGAACTCCGTCTCGCGTCGCCCAGCGGCATCGTCACGCGAAAGATCCTCTGTACTCCCCTTCGCGACGCCCTGCCGTCGGAAATCCCCGTCATTGACATCTCGCCGATATTCAGCTCGTCGCTCGATGAGAGGAAGGCCGTGGCCCGGCAGGTTCGCGCCGCCGCGCAGAACATGGGCTTCTTTTACATTGAGAAGCACGGGATTCCCGCGGACGTGACGCAGGACGTGTATGAGGCGGGACTAGAGTTTTTCAGACAGGACTTGGAGACCAAGATGAGGGCGGATTCGAGCGGGACGAGGTGGGATAAGGGGTATCAGGGGCCGAAGACGCAGCGGCTGAATCCGTCGGAGAGCGTTGATGTGCGGGAGTCGTTTTCGTATCAGTACGATCCGAGGTATGATGATGCCGTTGGGGAGGATGGGATGGGGGATATACCGCGGGAGGCGAGGCGGTATCTGGCGTTTGAGGATGATTATCCGTGGGAGCAGACGAGGAACTTGCCGGGGTTGAAGGAGAGCGTGATGAGGCACATGGAGGAGTGTTTGAGGCTGGCGAGGGCGCTGACGAGATGTTTTGCGTTGGGGTTGGGGTTGGAGGAGGGATTGTTTGACGAGAAGGTGAGGTATCCGGGGTCGTCGTACGTGATCAACTATTATCCCCCGATTGAGCCGTGTACGGGAGGGAGTGAGGAGGTGTCGATTGGGTCGCATACGGACTTTCAGCTGTTTACGATTCTATGGCAGGATTTACATGGCGGACTGGAGGTTCTCAGCAAGGAGGGTCAATGGCTGCGGGCGAAGCCGATAGAGGGGACGCTGGTTGTGAATCTGGGGGACTGCATGCAGCGGATTACGAATGACGAGTATACGAGCACGGTGAATCGGGTGAGGAATTACAGTGGCGAGGAGAGGGTGAGCATTCCTGTGTTTTGGGGGTTTGGGCTGCATGAGACGTGTGGTGTTGTTGTTGGGGGGGGGGAGGAGAAGAAGTATGAGGATGTGAAGTGTGCGGATTGGATTATGATGCGAATAAGGGGGATGAAGCAGTTGGAGTGATTGGGATTTCATATGATGGGTCAGCTGGATTGTTGTTTTTGGGGATATTGTGAAGGATGTTGGTGATGGAGTGTAGCTTGGGGGGGGGGGGATAGAGGACTACCTATTTTGGTAGGTGATGAGTGACGCTGTGAGGGCATCATGAGGGCGAAAACCTGAGCATGAGGCGAAACTGCCCATGAGACACGCATCGGCCCGGTGAACTTGTCACCATGCGAAAGGCGATTCTGATTCTCAGCATCTGGATCGGGAGATGGCCTTTGCAGAGAATAACCATTGCGTCATGATGGAGGCGGTTCGTTTCGGGGGGGAGCTCCGGGCCGATGGACGGAGTTTTTGATTGAGCAGATGTAGATGGCAAATAGCGAATCCCATTGCCACAAGTATAAGAAAAAGGGCATGGTTTGTTCATTTGGGGCGATTCTCGGCGACCGTTTACATGGCCTGGGGGATTGGGTTGAAGGGCGATGACGCAATGACGTCGTTTTTGCGCCCCTGCAGCAAGCGGGAACAGTTCGTCATCGTTATCAAGATGCGGATGTTTTTTTGTTATTTTTTAAGATGCGGGTTTACCAAATGTGTTTAGAAACAGGATGTAGGTTTTTGTTAGGGAAGACGCCCGGGGGGGTGTGTGATTTGTGCATGGTTTTTTTGTTGATGGGGATTGTGAGTGTTGAAGAATGAATGATGTCATTGATTGGGATTGCTGGTGTTTTTGGGATTTGAATTAATTAGGGCGCATGAAATGTGACTTGGTTGGAGCAGTATGACTGGGGGGTTTTTTTTTGATCTTTTTTTTTTTGCTACCCGACCGTTATAAACTGCTTGGACTGGGTCGAATCCTTTTTTTTTTTTTGGGATTAATCCCTGATTGTATTTTCACCAATTGTTGCAGTGGTTTGTGTTACGGTGCGTGCCATCAAATCTCGGCGGCATGTGAGAAATGATCCCCCCCCGGGCCATCCCATGATCACCGTCTCGGATCTGGCCAGCATATGCCAAATCTCACAAGCGGTTCTTTTTCGATTAGATTGCGTGCGTGTTTATCGCGTTCGGGCTTGTTGTTGGGGGGGTGCGCGTGGACGTCTCTTTGCTTTGCTATAGGTAGCTATAGCTATAGTTGTTTGGGGGAGCGCATGATCTGGACTGTGCGAAGAGGAGAAGAAGGTTGCCGTGTTGAGTTGAAAGTGAGGCGGAATGTTGGCGAGGTTGAGAGACATTTGGCACTGCAGGGGTTACACAGTGGTACAGTAGATCTCTGGAGGGGAGAGGAGCAAATGGGGGGGTTTTTGAGGGAGGACGAGAGCCGGGAATAAACGCATTTTTGTTGTTGTTGCAAGTCACAGGGCTGTGGTTGCATCTGACCTCGGGTTTTGATGATCAAGACGAGGTTTACGTGAGAGCAGGCTGTGTCTTGTCTCTCCAGTCTTTTGCTGGCGTGTCGGCACGGGAGATGTTACTCTTACTTACAAGGATAAGTAAGACATACTAGCTGATATGATGTGAGTCGTCAGCTCTCCAAGGCGCCCACGGGATACCATTCCTGGTAATTCTTCTTGTTGTCTCTGCCTGTAGGCACCAGGATACAAAACAAGAGCTTCAACTGAGTAAGGGATTCCAAGACGGGGGCGCATATGCGGGGAACCCCCGCCCATCGATGGAGGTTTATGGAGCCGTCTCTGGGGCATCTCGTGGAGTATCTCGTGGAGCAGAGAGGCCAAGCAGTAGACCAAGTATTGGCCGTTGCACGAGTCATTCAACGGTTGGGTTCTTACAGCGTGCTTTGGGGATAATCTGAGGATGAAATCATGACTGTGGGCGGCTAAGAAGGAGGAGAGAGCCAAGCCGGCGGTATTGCGCCGAGAGAGGACCCGATACCGTCTGTACGGCGAATTATATGCCCAATGAATCGCCGAGTATCTTGACGCTACGAAGAGATACAGTGTCGATATCCATGCGCCCGTCTTGATGGGACGCAACGCAAGCCGGCAAACGGGCGGATTGAAAGATGCGAGTCCGTTTAACACGTCTTGTGTGTGTCTGCATCCATTCCATCCGTCCATCCCCCGGACTGGCGGTGTCGCCATCATTTAATTGATGCTCATCTGCCGATTGCTCCTCGTGCACGCACGGCGATCGCCATCGAGGGATCCATGAGATTGGGTCAGGATGCTGACATGTGCGACATGTGCGTTATGCGAAAGAGAAAATGGTGTGTGGGTGTAAGTGAAGGAAGACACCAAAGGCGCAAGGCAAACGAAGCACAAGACGAGAGGGAGGGAAGAACAAAATGCCTCCTCCTCCGCAGCCAACACCTACACGTACATGTACATGTAGGTAGGGCTGAGCATCAAACTGAAGAATATGTAGACATGTGAGTCAGAAATAGCTTGGAGCTTCCGAGATGCTGGCTTTCCTGGGTTGCTTTAGCTCCCACCCCCAGCTGCTGTGATATCCCGAGATGCTCCGTCCAGAGTATGGGGTAAAAACCAAACCGACATCTGCGGTTACATTTTCGACGGGCTATTCTTCTGTGCCCCGTTTCGTTTTGCTCCGCTGGGTGCTTCTGCTTTTACTCCGGTATGTATCGTGCATGTAGATGCCCACCCTCAAGTCATCGTTATCCAGCTCGACCAGGTGGCTTAGGCAGATGATGCGGGTGATTTGGCACCGGCGAGCGAGATTCTTTCCATCAGAGGCGATACAGCTGGCCCAAGTCGTTTAGGCAAAAGGAGCTTCGGCGTTGCAAGCGGTGGTTTTGTTGATTGGGCGTCTTCTTGGCCCCGATGAGTCTTTGCCGGGCGCCTATCACATTCTCTCGACGGCCAAACATGCCACATGTGGAATTTGATATTACAGCATGTAGTATTACCGCATCTGCTCGCTTTGACGGGCCATTGGATCGCGGGGTACTCGGTATACCGGGAAATAAAAGTTCACTCGCTGGAAGAGCTTGAACCCTGAAAAACAGCCGGTTGTGGCTCTGCTCTGCCTGCAGCAAAAGTCGATCGGCCGTGCATGCAGTCAGAAGGTGAGAGTTGACTGACTGGGCCGCTCCGAACAAGTGGTGTGTGGGCAAACGCGGCGAGGCGATTGGATTGTTACATGGCCACCAAGGCATAAGCCCTTGCCTTGCAGTTTTGATTGATTGAGGAAACTGAGCCAAGAGCAAATGATAAACGGCGGGCTTACGACGAGGGGATAGGCAGACAGACAAGATGAGATTGGGAGCCTTTTTTTTTCTCTTCCCCCATCCAGGCAACCAAACAAGGGCAGTGCAAGGCAGGCATCGTCAGTTGCAGCGCGGGTGATTGGCTCATCTCGCCGGGCTCTTTTTTTCTTCTTCTTTCGCCCTTTGACTTGCCTGGATGATGCCCCGTAGGATGTGAATCCCAAGAAGACGAGACGACCTGCCCAAAGAGGGAAACAGGGCAACGTGAGCGGGTAGATTCGCAGCTAGGAACAGGACAAGCATACGGCATGTATGTAAGATGGCGACTCCGGCCCTTGCTCGGAATCAACCGCCGGGGACCCGTGTGTAAAGATAGACACGAATAGGTACCGGATGACTATATCGCACCCTGGGACGACGCAAGGGCATTTGAGAGATTGGGCGTAAGATGATGGGAATACGGCGACATCTTGCTTAGGTTGGCAGAATACGGAACGACACGGTACGGGGTGATATCAATCTGTACCTGTCTGTGCTTTGCTCGCCAGATTGCTGGACAGCACAACCGAGGACACAAGTCACATTCTTTTACAACCAACGAGGCATCTACATGTATCAAAGCACATGCACGGAAATTGAAACAGAGTCTGGAGACCGCTCTTCTGACGTCTGGACCGCATTGTCGATCCGGGGGAGGCGTCGAATCAGCGGCCCTTTCTTTTTTTTTGGTGTGTGTTGTTGATGGTTTTTGCATTTACGGCACTGGTTTGTTCGTATGGCCAGCTCAGCTTGTAATGTGATGCTTTTTTTGTCTCATGTACCAAGGAGAGTAGCGGCACGCGAAGAGAAGGGACGGGAAGTTCGAGCACAGACATGGTGGGAGGGGGGAGTGTGTTGTCTGCGTGTGCGTGTGTGTGTTCATATGGTCACCGGTCCTTTTGTCCTTTTGTTTCTTTCTGTTTGCATCTTTCTTGGTGTTTTGCCTCTATTCGAGATGGATGGAATGGATGGATAAAGGACGATGTCGGCTGGATGGGAAAGCAAGGATAAAAGGAAAAACAAACAAACACACACCAAAGTGAACGAGAACAAAGCACCAACAAGGTCCGGATAAGAACAAAGAAATGGCAGGCCGCCCACATCAAAAAAACAAAACAAAAAACTAGAAACTAGGGCCTTTTCCCCGGCAGGCAAACCATCAACTCAAAAGCACAAGCTGCATTAGCGGAAACGGCACGTCCTTTTCGGGCCACCGTTTGTTCCCTGGCGACCTGAATGGTTGGTCGGGCGGGTTGTTGGGCAGCCTCAGCTTCTTTCTGTCCCGCTGTTCAAAAGAAAAGGGGATTTTCCGATTTCGATTCGTGATGGAGGGTGGCCGCGTCTTGTGCTCGATTCGAGCCGTCACAGGATGCGAGTTGCGTAGATGCCACAGCTCGAGGGCGATTGGGCGGGTGACATGACAGTTTTCCTTTGAAAGCTTTCATTGTCAAGTTTCCCTTTTGCGCTCTCCGTTTTCGACTCAATCCGGGCTAATCAAAACGCCATTACAGTGTCAAGGACGGACTGTGTGGCTCACAAGTTTCGGAGCGGGTTATGGAAAGCCACCCCCAACTTTGTCAGTGTCAATCAAAAAGAGAAGCAGAGCAGATCCCCGGCCTTGTGGGAGACCGCCATTTCGGAGGGAACGCATCCCATACCGCCGTTTTGCTCTGTCGCCATTGCCCCATCCATCATCCCTGCGCCGCGCCGCAGTGGGAACGGCGAGATTCAAGGGAAGAATCAAGCTTGTTAAATTGGCGGTGCAGGCATTTCCCCTTCTCCCCGGCAAACAGCATCTGCAGCAGGGGCCATGGGTTCAATAACATGTATGTACCGCAAGGCGGTAAATTAACATGCGTGCTATTGAATCTTACAGCAACAACTCAGACACGCACACGCCTTTCGTTACGTGTCCCCGCAGCAAGGCTTCCGCAGCTGAAAAGAGGCGAACCAGCGCATCAGCTGCAAAGAGGGGGGGGAAAAGTCGTTGAATTGCGTGCCGCGTGGCAAAAAAAACGTACATGTAGATTGCTTTCAGGCTCCTCGAGTTGCGGTTTACAGAAGGTATAGCCGGGGCTCGGGCCTCGGGACCGGGTTGGGCACTGAAGGGAGACATGGAGGATGGGGGGAAAGAGGAATAAAAGGAATATCGTAAAGACAAAACGCCACCGTCCGAAAAGTCGGAGAGCCCAACTCCGTTTTCCTTCTTGTCCCCTTGCTGGCCGCACTCCTTCGTTGGGTCCGTGTCTCACCCCTCCCCCCCTTTATTTGGCAGCTGCGTTTTTTTCTTCTTTTTCTCTTTCAGTTTGTTGTCAAGATGCATGTAAGAGAGAATGCTTTCGTTGAGTTGTCCCGGTGTGAACAAAGAGAATCCGAAACGAGAGGCTGTGCGCGCATTCCCGGCGTCAACATGACCTCCCATCGGTCACTATTTTCGAACAAAGAGGCAAAACAAAAGAGGCCGCCTCAGCTCGATTTGGATTTCCCCCAGCACTGCACTGCAAAAACCTGATGAACCAGAAAACCTGCGTGGTAGCGCCGTAACTCGTAGCACAGCCGTGGGTCATCCTGACATGCTCGAAACATCATCGCCCCTTTCCGGATGGTCCCGGCCAGGACACACACACACACACACCCTCGTCCTTTTTTCTTACTGCGACACCCACCCCGGGCTAGGCAAGGGAGGGAGGCGAGGCTCTTCGGTGGGACGCAGCTAGTTTCTTGGCTCTGACTCGAGCGCCGGGGCCGAGGAGCGGCCATCGAGACCAAGTATAATGCTCCCTAATTCCCCCAGACTTTTGCATCTTGTACTGTTCTCCAGATTCACAAACATCGTCTATACCATCACGTCGAAAACAACATACTATAATCAGATACCACGACTCACAGCAGGATCAGGATCCTCTTTACGAACAACAACAAATAATCAACACCATCATCCACACATACCCTTATCTCACTCACACCTTGTGCTCCCACTCGCGGCCCGAATCACACAAAACACGAAACAAACTCTTACTGTCCACTTTGCGCGTCGACGCGAGGGAAATCAAAACCAGAACAAAACCCCACCCACCTATCCGAGACATTGATTCTCATCTCTCTCCCAACGACAACCGCCAACAAAAAAAAAATCCAACAAGCGCTGGTCGCGTCAAACCACACACACAAATATCCAGCCATGTCTCCCAAGCAGTCAGACTCATACTACCACCTACAAACCATGGAGCCTTCCGCCCACGAGCTTGACCTCAACGCCCAGGCGTGGATCCAGCCCATCATCATCGAGGACGAGGACCTCATGTTTGGCGGAAAGCCGCTGAGCGCCTGGTACGAGGAGGACCGCTCGCGGAGCACCAGCAGCAACAGCAGCGACGATGGCAACCAGAGCCCTTACGAGGAGGAGGAGCGTCGGGGACGAGAGCGCACGAGGAGACACTACCACGACGGCAAGGCGCTGAAGAAGACTCACCGAAAGTGAATCAACCGCTATACTCTCTCTTCACTCACTACACGACCTTGACTGTCCTTGGGTAATGTGGGATGGGAGTGCCTGCTTGATGCATGGCTTCCATCCTGCGTGTATGGCTTCTCTTTCACTAGATGCAAGCTATTACCCATCATCACCTCTCTACTCGACCTCGACATCCACATCACATCCATCCTCCTCATCTATATCACGACTACGCCGGCCTTTCTTTCATCATCACATACCCAGCTACAACAATTCATCGCTTTAGACCATCATCGACTGCGGGAAAGAGAAAAGAATCATCATTTTTTCCAAATCATTCGGCTACTTCATCATAACGGGTTTACACTGGCGTTTCATCATTTATATCTCCATCGTTTATTTTCCATCACCATGGAACTTCATTCACTGGGTTGCATCGGGACTAGCGCGGACTTGAACTTTCAATCTTCTTTCTTCCAACAAACAAATTCCAGGTTCAAATCCAATCGGGCTTTCACATGGTTTCGGCGACTGACTTCGCTGTTGGTTGTTTCTTATACCCCATGGGAAAAATATGGATGGTGTCTTTTTTTTATATTGTTTTTGTTTTATCACTACTTTTACGGGATTTATTGTAGAACAATATTCTTTTGGGTTACAACTTGTTTATTACGATGGAAAGGATAATGCGATATGGGGGAGGGAGAGGTCGTGGGAGCAGGGGATTATACCCAAAGTCTTGGAAACAACTGAATGGCAGGAATACCATAACAATAACAAATGCGAATAACAAATCTACAAAAATGACTCTGCAATGACATGTGCGTGACAAGCGACATTGAGTGTGTTGAATCATGGCTGCCTGTTGCGGTGCCATGTGGCTGGCCGATCGGACCGTAGTTTCGGGGATGAGCGCGCGCGTCCTTGCCGCCGATGATGGGAGGAAGAATTTGCGTTGTGGTTGTGAGAATGATTCATGCAAGTTTCTACCAAGATGCGATGCACGCGACATGAACGATAACGCTTCATCGAATACCCTGCCTATGTATGATGCGTATACATTATCTTTTTTACTTGAAGACGTAATACGCACGCGGGCGAAAAACAACTCGAGTCGCCTCATCCTTACGGCTGGCATTTCAGCTTCTTCAGCTCGTAAAGTTGCTGTGCCGCTTCAGCGCGTCTTCAGCCGTTCCCATCCTTACACCATGGATAATGTGCCACCTCTACTCCGTAAACTAAACTAAACCCCATCGCGACACCGGAACGGCGACCGAAAAGAAAAAAAAGACAAAATGAATGCCCGGCGAATAAAGAACACAAAAGACCTCCGAATAGGGGGAGGCAAAGAAAGCCCTTTCTCGGGAAAAGGACTCGGCTTTTTGAAAGAAAAGACAAAAGTAATCGCCGCTGGGGTAGAAGAAAGGGCAGAGGGCAAGCCAGACCGAGGAAAGAAAATTTCTCTTTTGTGGCTTTTTGTTTTTTTTTTGGGTTTGCTCGTTTCGTTTTGGAAACAAAGGGGTCCCGGTAATATGGTGAATGAGATGGTGGGAAAAACAAAAATCGAAAAGGTGTGAGTGGGTTGTACAGTACGTGGGCAAAAGCTGGCGTAAAGGAGGTGTGGATGGCTTCTCTTTTTCTTTGGTCCCTTTGACGACGGGTTTGTTCTCTTTTGGTAGCCCGTTTCTTTTGTGGCTTTTTGCAAGTTTACGAGACTAATTTCAGTTGTTACGTTGTGGATAAGCGTCTGTCCGGGGAAGAGGGTTTGGCTTTCATTCAATCTTGGTGATTAGATGGCCCGTATTGTTCGTGTTCACATCGTATCGCATCGTATCAAGCTGCTAATAATAGTGTTTATCCCGTATTCCCCTTGCCCCTAATAACAAATCAATATACATAGTTATCCAACTCTCTCAATTGTCTTTTCCATCTTTCGTGTTTCTTTTGCTCCGGCAGTTGAGACGCATCTCCCGCGGGTGCACACGTGTCGATGCAACCCCGTACTGCTGCTCTGCCCAAAGACCCCGTTGACAAGGTGCCTCGCATGAGTGCATGTACTGTAAGTAAATTCATGCACGCTGTAATCCAGCTGGCAATAAAGGGGGGCGGCCAGCCACATGCGTGGAACATTTGTATCTTCCAGAAGCAAGTTCTGTCTTTGTTCCATGCGGGCTCTCCAAGGGCATGGGCATGGGCATGGCATGGCTTCACGCCCTGTGTGCGTGGCAGCCCAAAAACGGGGGGATTCAGCTGACCCTTTTTCTTTCTTGGCCCTGCTCTGCTCTCAATGCGTTGCTGCGTGCGTTGGCAAAAGTGACGGGGATCGCTATGGGGGACTGTGGGTTTATTATTGGGGACTGCATCCTGTTTACGTGTGAGTGGTGATGGCGGTGAAGGGTGGACATTACAGGGCTTGCTGGCGGTGCAGGACAGGACAGTGCCGGGACTGTAGCCTCTCGGTCGGGTTGGGAGATTCCGGTTGGCCAACTGATGTGCTCTGTGACCGTATGGGAGACGGATTCTGCCGCATTGGACATGTAGCTTGATTGATGCTGGCGAGGGGGCCGTATCGAGTTGGACGTTTTGGTGTTCCGTTTCATTGCGGAAACGGTGTAGATGCTGACTACGAGAGCATTCCCAAAAAGGATGGACATTGCGCCTTCATTGCTAGAGTAAACGACTCCAACATCAATCGGTAATTCTTATATTTTATACGCCATCCGGTGTAGGAATTGCTTGATTGAAAATGTCATGCATAAAACACTTTTGTTCATCCACACCACAAGAGGCCAGATGCCGACATTTGCTTCTACAAAAGGCCCAATTCTTCATGAGATTACCCTACACTTTGGCCATTCTTTGTAAAATACGCCCAAAGCCTTGTCAAACTTGTCGTAACCGCTTACTCGTTGAGACTCCACCGCACAGCTTTGTGTTCATGACTTGGAGACGTTGTTTGGCTATCGGGTGTGTGTGTTTGTCTGCGCTCTACCTGAGTGATTCAAATATGTTCCGAGTATGGAGTAGTCCTTCATCATTGTCATCTACCACAAAGAAACCAAGACCGGTGGTTCAAGTACCGAGTCTTTCCGACGGCGGCTCGCGTGCCGCGTCTACCCCTTGAAGTCTTCCCAGTTCACGATGGTTTCATACAAAAACCTAGCTCAAGCGTGAAAAGTGCATGAAATATGCTGCTTATTCCCTGATTTCAAACCCGTCCCGCCAGACGTACGCCTGCGATGGGAAAAAAGCGTAACCCGGCGTGTCTCAATTGTCCCTAGCGGATGCATCAACACGGCTCGCGATATTGACAAGTTGGTAATTCCGGCGGTTTTGCAACTTTGTATACACAATATTCCGCGGCCAAATGTCCCCTTTCCCGCGCAAAGAGCAGAAAGACCACACCGTTTACTCAGCATTGTTGCATTGAGCACTGCTAAACGGGACCAAGCATCGTGGGCCTTGCAGGGGAAAAGGCAACAATCATATTTCCCGAATAGTATCATGTCTCCTTCGGCGGCCCGTAGCAGAAAGAGCCAATGGGAACCAAACATGGCTCCGGATATAGATGTCAAACTTGAGGGCATCATGTATATATAAAAGGATCATGAGTGTTCAACGAAATATAATTTCTACCCAGGACAGAAACATTAGCTGGTTAGGAACACGGCTATTCCCTTGGCACACTCAGCAGCACTCGAGCATCTTTGCAGCATTTCAAGATGAAGACTTGTCTTCTTCTCGGCTCTCTCGGGCTGCTGTCCAAAGCAGCTGCGGCAAACACTCCCGTCGCAAAGCCCTTCACAGTCAATCTTTCTTCACGGGTGCCTCATATGCTTGATCTTATCCAGAGGACTGTTCTTCCTGCAGCAGAGCTCCCAGCCGCCAATGCAAACCTGAATATGAGCCAGACAACGGGAATCCCGCTTTCTACGCTCAAGAGCCTGCAGAAGGAATGGTTGACTAGCTTCAACTGGACAAAGGAACAAGAACAGATCAACACGTATGATCAAACCAGCAAAGATGGATTCACACGCTGACTCAAATTACACAGATACAACCACTTAACGGTCCAAATCGGAGCTCAAAATGTCCACTTCATCCATGAAAATTCCAAGGATCCCAACGCCATCCCCCTCATCCTGCTTCACGGCTGGCCCGGCTCGTTCCTGGAAATGACACACCTAGTCGACCAGCTCAAGAGCAACTCCAGCCAGCCATTCCACATCGTGGTGCCCTCCCTCCCCGGCTTCGGCTTCTCCTCGCCCGCGCCCAGCGGCTGGGAAATCTCCGACACGGTAACCTTGTTCAACACGCTCATGACGCAGGTGCTGGGATACAAGACGTATGCCGTGCACGGAACGGACTGGGGTAGCGGCGTGGCGTTTGACATGTATGATCAGTTCAACACGACGGTGAAAGCGGTGCACTTTGCGTTTCTGCCCTTCTTTTCGCAGACGCCGGAGCAGTTGGCGGCGCAGGGCATTGCGCTTGCGGCGGACGAGATTGAGCTGGAAGATAGGGCCATGGACTTTGAGAACTCGGGCACGGGATACTATATTGAGCAGACAACGACGGCATGTCACCTGTCATTTCCCTCTCTCCGTCATGGTAAGATGAAAGGCTGACAATGTGTTTCTAGGTGAACACGGTTGGCCTTGCTTTGTACGACAACCCCGTTGGACAGCTGGCATGGCTTGCTGAAAAGTTCATCATCTGTAAGTACACCTCATCGAAGGGTCATGCTCCTCGCCCCCCCAGTCGTTGGTATGATAGACTCGAGCAATGATGCCAACAACTGCAGCAGGGTCCGACCCACGACGAGGCACCGGCCCGTCCTTGATGACGGACAATGAGCTTCTCAGGCATGTGTCTCTGTACTACCTGACGCAGACGTTCGACTCGGCCGCCTTTGTTTACGCCCAGAATCCCGACGGCTTCTCGCACACGTACCGAACCGCCAGGAGCGAGCAGCCTCTGCTGTACACCAACTTTCGGTACAACATTCTGTTTTACCCGGAGAAGCTGGTGGCGACGATTGGCAACCTGGTCTACTACAACAGTGAGTCCAACTACCCGGAGACAGACGGTGCGATAGAATGTGATGCTGATGGAACGAATCCCTGCTCTAGAAGTCGAGTTTGGCGGCCACTTCCCCGGCGTGGACAACCCGGCAGCGCTGGCCAGCGACATTCGACTCATTGGAAAATACTTTAAGCCGTAAATTCCGGGCTCTTCCCGGATCCCGGGTTGCATTCGGAGCTGACATTGAATCCCGCTTAGTGTCGGGGGTGCCTTTATTAGATTGCATATTTCGGAGTCCGTAGCAAAGGAACGGGCTTGATCCGGTGGGGGAGTGTCTGTCTTTCTTGATTGGATGGATAGATGTTATTAACATTAGATTGCACGTCTTGGTAATACCTAGTGGTCAATATTAAAGAAAGATATATGCTGGATGGAAGGTATACTTGTAAGCATGCTTTGGATGCTCCCGGTGCCGTTGTTCATCATCGTGTGAAACGGAAAATCGTAGTAACCCTCTTCTTGTCTCACCATTTAGTGCTGGATATTTCCATTGTCCATCGATATTCAATCTCCAATCTCTCCCATTCCCGCTATTCTTGTGCGACGTCCAAGTTTCTTTTCCAATTACTTTCACACTTCAGCACTTCAGCACACTAGATATTCTGCCACTCTGCTGAATTCTTGGCCTCGAAATCTATAACTGTTGACGAATCCCTCTCCCAACTAAATCATCCATCATGAGCATCGGAGCTGCAGCCAACGGCACTGCAGGCCTTGCTGTCCCAAGTCACAACGCCCACGCTGCAGCTACGGCTACGGCTACGGCTATAACATCGCCCTACCAACACATTGCCGACTTCATCTCTAATGTCGGCAAGTTCAAGATGTGCTTTTATATCCGATATCTACAGTGAAAGGCCTCTTGCTAATCTTGAATAGCATCGAATCAACACTAAGAGAGGGCGAGCAGTTTGCCAATGCTTTTTTCGATACTGGTACTTTTCAACCCTGCCTTTGCGTATTGTCCGTTTGTCTACTTACACGCGATCAGAGACTAAGATCAAGATGTACGGCTTTCTCTCCGTCTTTACTCTTCGATGTAATAAACAGCTAAAACAATGTATAGTGCCACCGCGCTGTCCGAGTTTGGTGTTGACTACATTGAGTTGACTTCACCATGCGCATCTCCCGCCAGCCGAGCCGACTGCGAAGCCATCTGCAAGCTCGGCCTCAAGGCACGTTATCTGCCACCTTCTACTCTCATGTGTGCTACTACTAACCTTTTTCACAGGCCAAGATCCTTACTCGTTAGTTGGACCAATTGCCACGTCCTCTGCTCTCTCAATCGGTTCTTTCATATTGACTGTGCTCATTTAGACACTCGATGCACCCTAGAGGATGCCAAGATCGGTACGTCGTGATCCACCAACAACAATCATTGGCAATACTTACTCTATATAGCTTGTGACTGCGGTGTCGACGGTGTCGACGTCGTCATTGGAACTTCCAGCTTCCTCCAAAAGCACTCACACGGCAAGGACATGGCCGCCATCACCAAGCAGGCCCTAGAGGTCGTCAACTACATCAAGAGGTAATTCAGCTTTGCTCTTGGTCACCTTGGCTTTCATGCTAATATTGTTTTCAGCCGAGGTGTCGAAGTCCGATTTTCCAGCGAAGATTCATTCAGGTGCGTTCTTCTTTCATCACCCAAGATATGATGGCTAACATTGGCTTAGGAGCGAGTAATCCCTAGTGACCTCACATAGACACGAGATTAACACAATGCAGGTGATCTCGTCGATCTTTTGAGTCTATACAGAGCCGTTGATAACGCCGGCGTCCACCGGGTGGGAATTGCAGACACTGTGTATGTGGCGTGCTTATCACAATTGGTTTATAAACGACTGCTGACATATTCACAGGGGCTGTGCCTCTCCGAGACAAGTCTATGATCTTGTTCGAACCCTTCGTGGAGTTGTCAAATGCGATATTGAGTGCCACTTGTAGGTCATGTCTGGGATTATCTTTGTTTGGAGATGTAGACTAACGTACAGCAGCCACGATGACACAAGCTGGTAAAGCAAACCTTTCACCCTCATAAAAGATTAAAAGTTATATGGATGCTGACATCACTCAAAGCGCCGTTGCCAACGCTTACTCTGCTCTCGAGGCCGGCGCTACTCGTAAGTTATTCTTGGTGATCGAACTCCCCACACCTATTGTTTGGAGAAGCTGATGGTTCTACCGGTTTTGCTGGTAATCTTTTGCTAACCTTTGCTAGACATCGATACCAGCGTTCTGGGTATTGGTAAGTACAACATCTTGGATCTATTCACTCGATATCTCGTTTACCCCAACCACGACTGCAGGTGAGAGAAACGGAATTGCTCCTCTCGGCGCTTTTCTTGCGAGAATGATTGTGGCCGCTCCCGAATACGTCAAGCGCAAGTACGACCTTCACCGTCTCAAGGACATTGAGAACATCGTTGCCGAGGCTGTTCACAGTGAGTCACTCTGTTGCTGCATTGGAGTCGATATGCTTACCACATGACTAGTCAACGTGCCCTTCAACAACCCGGTTACCGGCTTCTGTGCTTTTACTCATAAAGCGGGTATCCATAGCAAGGCTATTGTAAGTTTCGTATCTCGATAGGAGACTGGGCCTGCATACTGACCCAATTTCTGTTTTATAGCTGAACTCACCCTCGTAAGTTGCATCAATTCCGTGATGCAAGTCGGGTTCATCATTGCCTGTAGAAACTAATAAACACATAGGACATATGAGATCATCAACCCCGAGGATTTCGGCCTGAGCAGATGTGCGTTTTCACGATACTTCCAAGCATTTGCCAATATGTAGAGACTAATCACTCCCAGACGTCCACTTTGCCCATCGTTTGACTGGATGGAACTCAATCAAGAGCCGCGTCGAGCAGCTGGGACTTCACATGACCGATGCTCAAGTCAAGCTACTGTGAGTCGCTTCTTCTTTAACTCCTAGGAAGGCAAGTGCTGACTGCGATTCAGAACAACCAAGATCAAGGCCATGGCTGATGTACGTCCCCTCGCCATCGACGATGCGGACTCTATCATCAGAGCATTCCATCTTGATCTTCAAGAGAGGGACACTACCGAGGCCTGGAAGAATTAAGTGTTGGAATAATGGCCCTGGATATGACGAAGAATGCTTGCATTCGAAATTCGGCGTTGGATAAAAAGGTTTGGGGTGAATTTGACTTGTTTCCACTGGACTTGCAACGCTGCTCATTGTGCTGTCCGCTGCTTGCCATTAGTTGATTCACCAATCCCAGACCTAACTGAACTAGAAATGCTATTCTTAACTCTTAGCGGATCGAATATTTCCAAAGTCGCTTTGAGCGCTTTAGACGACCTTGTATTCTTTGCCTTGAGTCTGTGGTTGGTCCAGCCTTTTGCTTCTTGAATAAGCGTAATGCGGCCTTTGTAGCGGAGAAGTAATCATTGAGTCTTGAACCAGGGCCGGCGAATATGTAAACCCCGCCACTCCGAGAATAACTTCCACTCCTCGTGTCTTTTTTTGTCAACACAACACAAGGCTAAAGGATCTCTAATAATTTTTTTTGGGTATGAATCTCAAAACAAAAACAAAGCAACTAGAAAAAGAGGAGTCCTGAAACGCATGTGGTTTGTTTGTAGTTGTTGATGTTGGGAGTTGCGTTTAGTGCAGGGTGTCTGCGGTTACGATAAGCATGACAGATTTTGACTTCACCAGTTCAAATGGTGGATAGTTTGAATTCAACATCCGCAATCGTAAAAGGGGGTCAATCGCGCATGATATCGGAGAAGCAATTGCTTTGGTCTTGGTCCTGAGGGGCCTCGTATTGTGTAGGGCGTCTCTTGATTTAGACATCAATCTGCTTGCGCTTGAATACGCAACTTATACGCACTTACCCCAGTCTCCTCGGCAAGAAACAACTTTGCGCCTTGAGTCTCGCAAAAGTGACAGATGGGTTATTGATAAAAGTGAGCCATCGAGGCTAACCATTCATGCATCCAAGTCCAGCAAGTCCTTGCGAGCCCCAGAATTGGAACTATGCTGCTGCTATTCTACTTTGGTATATTCCGGCTATTCACCCACAACAGGGGGTAATGCGGTGAAGATCCCTTTTTCAGCATGAGCGTTCTGCACCATCACCTTTGCCTACCTTATAAAGCAACAGCCAATTGCTGAAATCACGCAAGCTTGGAAAAGCAAAAAGACCAAAAGACGAAGAGTCAGCAGGAAAAGAAGCTTAAAAATAGCATAGCACGAAAAGATAACGACCCCGGACTGCCGTCTGCCGGGGCGGAGACAAAAGTTCTCTACTGACGGACTTTGTCGTATCTGCCGATTGACATCGAATTGCGGAGATGCCTGCCCGTATGGTGTGCATTGTTGCAGGAATTGCGATGGGATACGAAGTTGTAGCCAGCCGGATAGCACGGGGCCTCGTATCTGAGGGGGAGAAAAAAAGGTCCTCGTATTTCCAATTCAACGATTGGACTTTTTCTCAAACGAGAAGATGCATTGTCATCAAATGCAATTTTGCCGACGATACCTCGATGATCGGTCGATGATCGGGGACATTTGGTAATTCCAGTGAGGGGGAGAAGTCGTGAGGTTGCGATATCCGCGGACTTTTGGGCCGTCCTTGTATATAAACGGCCATACATCACCTCAAATCTTGATCGAAGCAGGCCCTTTGTCCCAAAGACTCTTGAGGCGTCAACTCTCGAGTCTCTCTCTGTTTGGAGTAGAAGCAATGAAGCTCAATGCTGCCCTGGGCCTGTTGGCCCTTGTCGGCGGAGCATCGTCTTCGCTGACCATTACAACAAACACCAACAAGAACCCGCTGGTGTCGAACCAAAACACAACCGTGGTCCCCGACACGTTCATCGTCGAGCTGCAGCCAGACTTCCACCCGGACCTCCAGCCCAAAGAGCGGTTTGCAAAGACAGCGCCAGGGGCCAGGCCCGGATATCGCGTTCGCCAGCAGTACAACAGCACCGACTTCTTCTACGGCGTGTCGGTGTCGTTCAACACTCACGTCGACCTCGGCACGCTGCGTCAAAGCACCGGCGTCAAGAATGCCTGGAAGGTCGCCATCGTGCCTCGGCCGGAGCCGTATCACTTGCGGGGGGCCCCGAAAATCAGCAAGGGGACATCCTTGCCGAACCTCAGAGGCAGCGCCAAGGTCAACCAGCCGCTGGCCATGAGCAACGTGCAGAAGCTTCACGACCAGGGCATCAAGGGCAAAGGCGTGCAGCTGGCCATCATCGATACCGGAGTAGACTATCGCCATCCAGCACTGGGCGGCGGCTTCGGACGAGGACACAAGATTGCCCTGGGATACGACTTTGTGGGCGACGACTATGACGGCAGCAACACTCCTGTGCCGGATCCAGACCCCCTGGCAACATGCGTGGATGGTGGACACGGCACTCACACTGCCGGTAAGTCAATGGGTTGCATGTCATAACTGTAAATGAAGGGCGACGAACCGGGTCAGGGCGTTTGGGCAAGCTAACGAGATAACGTTGTTTTCTAGGCATCGTGGGCATGGAGGACCCTGATAATCTGGGCTTCGGCCTCGTCGGCGTCGCTCCCGAGGCAACCATTGCCGCCTACCGCGTCTTTGGCTGCGAGGGAAGCACCAGCAACGAGCTCATCATCTCGGCCATGCTCAGGGCTGCGCATGACGGGGCGGATGTTGTGTCGATATCGATCGGCGGGTACGATATATGGGAGGAGATCAACCCGTTTGACCAAGTCATCACTAGACTGGCCAACCACGGCGTGGCCGTTGTTGCTGCCATCGGGAACTTTGGAACTGCCGGAGTGTTCTCGACCGCTGCGCCGGGCATCTCCACCAACGCCTTGTCCGTGGGATCGATTGAGAACGAGGTCTATCCGACAGTTTATACGGCCCACGATGACAAGCACAAGGCTATCGACTATGTCTCTGTGTTTCCCGCAACTGGCCTGGGCCGTGTCGAGGTCTACCGGCTGGGAACCGGCCTGGATGTCCCAATCGACGCCAACGTCTCCAGCGGATGCTACGAGCCTGCTTGGGATGCTCTGGCCGCGGCCTCTGTTGACTGGAACAGCACCATCTTGTTGGTATCGTGGGTGAGCTGGTGCGGCACGGCCTGGGCGACGGCCGTGGACTTGGGGGCTCAAGCAATCCTGGTGTATCAGGCCGAGGAGCTGCTCATTGCCGTGGACGAGCCCGAGGATCCAACGACTCTTCTGTACTTGGACTACGGCAACTCACAGAAACTCGTCGATAACTTGTCTCAGCTGCCCGCTGGCCAGAAATACTACCTCACGTTTGACGGCAAGAAGCCCAGCTCGGCTACAGACCCGCTGGGGAGGACGCCGGACGAATTCTCCAGCTTTGGTCCGACGGTCGAAATGTCACTGGCTCCAAAGGTCTCGGCGCCGGGAGGAACAATCCTGGCTACATGGCCTCTGGAAGCCGGCGGATATGCTGTGCTGTCAGGGACTTCGATGGCCACCCCTTTTGCCGCAGCAAGTCTGGCATTGCTCAAGTCTCAACAGCCGCATCTATCCGTTGCGCAACTGTTTGCACGGCTCATGACCACTGCCGGCCCTGTCAACGAACCCAACTCCAAGCAGGTCGCTTCTACAGCTCGCCAGGGAGGAGGCCTCATCAACGTCTATGCGGCCGTCAGGGCGGATACAGTCATCAGTCCGTCTGAGCTCACCCTGCGCGACTCGGAAACGCCGGCGCCTCAGAAGATCACCATCACGAACCAGTCCAAGTCGAGGAAGAAGTACTCGCTCCAGCACAGCCCGGGGTCGTTCTATCGCGTCTACTATAATTATCTAACCGGCAACACAGACTACAATGGCGGCAGTGAGGTCATTGCCCTCGACGTCCCTGCGTCTGCCGACTTCTCGCAGTCATCCCTGACTCTTGGCCCGGGCCAGTCCGCCACGGTCACGGTCCAGATCAAGCCGCAGCACGATGACTGGCCGTGGTCCTTGCCCGTGTATGGCGGCTTCGTAAAGATCATCTCTGACGATGCAGCTTATTCGATCCCTTACATTGGCGTGCCTTACAACCGCACCGAGGTTGGCCCCATCATGCACAACGTGACGACGCAGCTGCCGTATGACTCTCCAGGCATCTTGAAGCTGCCGGCAAACGACCTCTTCCTGGCCGACGGCCAGATCCCAACACCCAACATTGACTCGTACAACTGGTCGACGGACCCGTCCAAGTCGCTCATCCCCGTCTTCCGGGTGGATGTGCTGCTGCCCTCGCGCTTCATCCGCTTCGACCTGGTGCCCGCCAACGTCTCCTTTGTGCCCTCCATCTACGGCTTCGACCCAGATGTCCACGTCGACTACAAGCCCCCTTCGCAGGCCATCCTACCCGGCTTCCTCGGCGTACCCACATATGGCCAGTTGTTCTCAATCACCGTCGACGATGCGCCTTCTGGTAGCCCCACGCTGTCGCAGCCCTTGATCAACCACTTCTTTGCTCAGGCCCTTCTGTTCCCTACGCTGACAAACGATGACAACGTGTCGTACAACATCTCGTCTGGGGATTACCGGCCGCTTCTCCGGGCGTTGCGATGGAACGGCGATGAGACTAACCCCGACGACTACGAATCCTGGCTGGGACCAGTGATTCGGGCGGACATACCGAGCGACGAGTTTCCAACCGACACGTAAAGGGGATTGATTTTGGCTTCTTCGGGATGTCTTTGCGCTCTTCGGGATTTGAAAAAATGAAAATAAAGAATAAAAAAGGAAAAGTAGCACAGGTAGTTCCATCCTTGGGTGAGTGGCGACGGCTTGCGGAGTGGGAATATGGATTCGGCTTTTTGCGGTACTCGGCGGGCATATTGCGGTTTCGGTTTCGGCTTCGTTGGCATGACTAAGAGCCATAGCGGTCGGCGAAGACTATTCCTGACAGAGGCATAATAGTCGTTGGATAGTCACACAACTTAACATGTCTGACCAACTCCGAGTTGTGGTCTCTCTTCCCTCGTAATCTCCGAACACCTAGACTGCGTGAAAACTGATAGACAGACGCGCTAAGGCTGCTAACCAAGTGTTAAGCTTTGTCGGTCTGTGCCCGACCCCTGTCAGACCGTTTGGCCTAGTCAGGCAAGTTGAAGAGAGAGAGAGGGTTCTTTTGTTGTTTAGTAATCGCCTTCAACCATCCTATCAAGGCAATAAGCCACCGTCATGCCATCCAGAGTGGTCCATTCGTACTACCTAGTATATTAAGGAGACCGCAAGGTTGAGCCGTATAGGGCTGGCCCTTTTGTGCCCAATGTAACGGAAGGGTTACTTTGAGTAGTTTAGTCTGATCGACGACCTCTCCCGCGCCATCTCCCGAAAGACAGGTTGCTTTCGCATCGCTAACTCAGACGAGTTGCTGCACATGAGTCGCCGGCCGCCGGCCAATTAACCGGGGTAAGAGAGACGTTTTGTGTCTGACTGGTCCAATTCAGGATCCAAGGTTCTGACTGAGTTGACGGTCTTATATTAGTCTCTATGCAAGTGCCAAGTACCACGACTCTTGGCTCATTGGAGGCAAAATTGTTGTCAGTTTTAGCGGGAGGATTTGTTTACAGGGATCTAGTCCCCAGAATACACGTACGACTATAGATGGAAAATACATGGCCACTGGAAGAACGCAGGGATCGGGTTGCCTTCCGCCCTCGTTGAGGGAGCGAGTTGAACAAGGATCCCACACCTCTCTGCTGTCTCAGTTGCAATCCTTTGTCAACTATGTACGCACAGCCCTACGCCTATACCATTCCAAATACCCAACAAGAAACCTTCTCAACACACAATCCACTCCAGGACCCCAGGCTTTGTGCCCTCCGATCGCCCAATCGACAGACAGATGGAGAGATTGTTCTGTGCGGATTTCCGCTCCACCAATTGTCGCGGCCGCCGCTAAAATCTGACACGCTGACAAAAGCAGCCATCTAAAAAGAGCCCCTGCTGCGCCCTACCAGGCTTGCCGACCCTGTTCAAGCGGAGCCTCATGGCGAAGATCATGTTGTTTGTTAGCTCAACTTTGGTTCGTATGGTGATAGTATGATCAACTACTGCTGTGAATTGCATCGTGCTTTGGCCAGCGGTATGGGCGATTCAACGCAAGACATTGCTTCAGACCGCGGAGACTAGGCATCTCCATGCAGAAGATTCGATATTGATTGTTTCTTATAGCCGTAGTCGTAATTTCCGTGTTCCAACTCCATCGGGCATAGGAGAGAGAGGGAGAGATGGACAAGGTTTGCAGTATTTGTATATATATGGCCCTCTTTGGTTGTCTCTGCTCGGAAAGACTTTTTGCTTTGATTAATCTCGCCGAGCATTCCCATCTCGATAGGCCCCGGAGCTGAGAGAACGTTCTGACATCTCGATACAACGTTGTCTCCTGAGTCTATCTTGGGGCATCCCGCAACTATGTTGCACCCCCCGCCGTACCTCAGAAAGCCTATACGAGGCGTTTTCCTCCTTGGTTTGCTTATTAGTTCACCATGCTGTTCAACCGCGATAGAGCTCGAGTCAGGCCTCCCACGAACGCTGACGCCCATCCGCCATGCCAACACTTCCACTCTGTCCATCGCTTACTACGACTCGGCACCGGGCGACTCGAGCGCGCCAGTGGCCATCTTGGCCCACGGCTTCCCTTACTCCATCGACACCTACGTCGACGTGGTGCCGAAGCTGAGGGCGCAGGGATATCGTTTGATTGTCCCGTATATGCGAGGCTACGGCACCACGACCTTCCTGTCTTCCACAACCCCCCGCAGCGCAGAGCAAGCCGCCCTGGGCAAGGACATTGTCGACCTGATGGACAGCCTGCACATCGACAAGGCGATATTCGCCGGCTACGACTGGGGCACGGTGGCCGTCAACGCGGCGGCAGCCCTGTGGCCGGGTAGATGCTCCGGCATGGTTGCTGCAAATTCATACCTGATCCAGAATCGCCAGACGGCGTGGGCCTTCGCGCCTCCCGCGTCCCTGGCTAACCGCTGGTACTTTTACGTCCTTCTCACACCGCAAGGATTCGGCGGCCTCGCCAATGACACGCGGGGATGGGCCGAGACGCTGTGGTCCAAGAACAGCCCGCGGTGGAACTGGACGCAAGCTGAGCTCGACGCTGCGGTTCCGGCGTTTCGCAACCCAGACTACGTCGAGATCGCGACCAACTTTTACCGCAACCGCCTGCTTTACGCGCCTGGAGACCCGGCCTACGCTCAGTTGGCCGACAGGCTAGACTCGCTGCCTCCCATCCACGCCCCCTCCGTGACGCTGGATCCAGACCAAGCGCCAGTCTTTCCTGCAACCGATGGATCGTCCACGGCCCAGCACTTTGCAGGGCCTCGGGTGCATCACGTCGTGCATGGGTGCGGCGAGAACATCCCCTTGCAGAGCCCCCAGGTTTTCGCAGACGCCGTCATCGAGGTGGCGGCCCTGGGGGAAGTCATGATGTAAAACTACATAGGCGACGTGTAAGGGGACTATCCGTATTCCCTTTTCAACTATACGTGTATAGATTATAATGGGGGTCTGCCAATGCTGCGATTACAAACTTGCTGCCAATAGCGGAAATGATCTTTCCAGGGGGGGGTATGATTTACAATGTATATAAACCAGTCTACGGTCCCCTCTTTTCCCCCTTCCCTCTTCTTTGCTCTTGTCAGCATGCAAATTCCTTTTGGGGAAAAGCAATTCTTACAACAAAGCAACCCATAGCTTAATATGTGGAGTCTCGCAAGTCCCACAGTCTAACAGGCGAAGAAGCGAAGAACACGCGCGGCTGTTGTCTTTGCTGGTAAGGCCAAACGTTGAATTCCTTTTTGATTTATCGAGTCCCAAAAACGAAGCCTTGGGAGCTAGTTTAGCAGAACAGACACACATAAGCTAGGCTTGTTCCAAAACGTGCATTTGTCATTGCCAGGGGGGGCGCGCTACAGGCCAAGCCCCCCAAAAGACCCAAGTCTTCTTAGATCCCGGCCGAGGTTCTTGTGCTAACCCGGAGCGTTTTACGAAAGGGAGGAACAGAGCCCATGCGGATCAGAAATCTGGGCGACATCTCGTTGTGGCAAACCCTCGCCCCCACAAGCCCTATCTTCTCCTCGGCTCCCTCTTAGGGCCGAAACGGCGAGACAGGGCTGAGAAGATGCAATCATTAATGAATAGGAGAGAACCCGGTTTGCAAGTTGACTTGACGGAGCAAATGGAATTGCTTGGAAACATGGCGACCGTGAAACCTGTGTTGCGACGAAGCCATACGAAATCAAAGTTTGGCTGTCAGGCTTGTAAACAGCGACATGTCAAGTGTGATGAGTTTCGACCAACATGGTTTGTCTTCCTTCTCTCTCTCCCCCTTTTTTTTTTCTATTTCCAAGTGACTTGGTTTCATACTAATGACTCGAGTTTTCTCTTCTTCCTCTTTGCAGTCACAGATGTCTCTCGTCAAAGATTACATGCAAGTACCCCGACCAGACTGAGGTGGAAGAGCCAGACGAAAAGGAGGCCTCGGCTCTGTGGTGGCCGGTAGACATTGAAAAACTCTGCGAACAATGGAAAGAATCAGGACAACCGCCATTCATGTCGCTGGCACCGTCTCCAAGCTGGCATAGCATGGACATGAAGGACTTGAAGTACATCTACAAGATGGCTCTGGTTGCTAACATCCTCGACCTGAGCAACACAACCAACATTTGCCTATTGTGGGGTGAAATGGGCGTGTAAGTGTTGATTTTGAATTGCAACAGCGTTTTCAGAGACTATCAAGTTGATGCGCTGACTGTCTGATTAGGCTTTTCCAGCTCGCAACACACTTCGACTTTGTTGCGCATACCTTGGCTGCTACATCGGCTCAACGACTTGCAGTAACTACAAAGTCACACGAGGCTTCTCAGGATGCGTATCAGTACAGGAAACAAGCTCTTCATGGGCTGTATCGAGCAATGGGATGCTTTTCCAAAGACAATGCCGATGCAATTCTCGCCGCGTCACTGGGATGCTCGTATATCATGTCCGATCAGTAAGTCAACTATTCCCTCTTGAAAGATTAATCAAACCAACCATTGATTAAACTTGACAACACCATAAAATATATACTTTACTATCACATCAACATGGATTAACTAATCATTGCTCGCAATAGTCGCTCCCTGATGACCCTGGCAGGAAACATCTCTACAGTAAGCCTCGACAATATCATTCTCTCTTCCACGCCGCTCACAGTAGAGCAGGTGGCCACCCGGATGAAGCCGTGGCTCAAACGGTCGGCCTTTCACCAAATCTTTACCTACGAGCCAACGCACTACGAAACCGAAGAGCAAGCAGCCTCGTCGCCTCCCGAGACCGGAGACTTGGAACACCGCTTCGCTCTCGTCAAGATGCTCCTGGCCGAGGGCATCGGCTCCGTCAACGGCCTGGCTTTTTGCTTCCAGGGCGACCGCGACCTCTCCGCCGTGCTTCGACAGCTGCGGGACGTCATGCGGCTCGTCCATGACCGGCTCGGCTCCGACATCTCCGCCGAAGACCAGTACCGCCTCGTGTACCCCTTCACCGCGTGGTTCGTCAAGAACTCGGCCGCCTCCTACGTCTCCCTCAGCGCAAAGAACCCGTTCCTGCTCGTCTTCCTCCTGCACATGTACGCCGTCGTCGTCTCGCTGACAGTGTCCCTGCCGCGCATCGACGTTCCGCTGTTTGCAAAGTACCGGCTGCGGGCGATTCTCGAAATCTGCAACATTTTGAAAACCGGACCGGGCTTCTTGTGCCAGCGGTGTAACGGGTTCCACGCCTACGAAGAAGTCATGGCGTTTCCGTTGAATAGCGTGTCTGTGTATCAGCAGGTTGGTAGAGAGACGGGTGTTTTAGAAGCATAGCCGGCGAGCATCCCCCCCTCCCTTTGATTTCTGTTCTTCTCTTCATCTCTCCTCTTATTATTGATTCCCTTTGTCGTTTCTTTGGAATAGCAGTCATCATGCATTCTGGATGCGCAGCGATATGCGGGTTATTTGGCATGCTTTAAGCGACGGGCATGATGCTGGAATTAAAATTGCGAGCGTTTGCTTATCGGACACATGAAAGAGCGGAACCAAACCTGGGTGGCCGTGTCCTTATCATATATATCTTTGTACTAGAATCTGGACAGACAGACCCCTGTTGAGGTTGACAAATAGAAACTCGAAAGTCGCTGTCATGGTCATCTCGTGAGTTGTCAATATCACGCCGCTTCAATTGTCCTCAGCCGTCCGTACCTTGTCTAATTTTAGCAAAAAAAGTCATTCCAGACTGGCAAAGGAAGAAGAAGAGAGTTGGATGAAATAATGATCAACAGTTGAGAAGGCTACAATCTGGACCCACCGACAAAGACCTTTGCAGCCTTGCGGATAAATAAGCATCGGCAGACAAGACCCTTGTTTGAGAGTAAACGCGGCATCGTGTTGCCCCGTCTTACGGGAAGCCATAACCATAACCATAAACAAGCGGGAGATCGGGCAGATCCCCCAACTCAGCTGAAGGTCTGTAAATAGCAGTTGTGAAACTAATCCGAATGCCTAGATGGGGTGCTGATGCTAAAGATAGATGGTCCATGTTTTGTTTCTCAGGACTTGACGATGCGACATATCGCGGAGCATACTGAATCGGCAAATAGCGTCGCCAGAGAGCAGTAATCAATCGGCCGAATCTTGTCGCACGGACGCTTCGATGCCAGGTATCGAGTGCGAAATTCGAAACTGGAGAGAGAATTCACAAGTCAGCGTCGCTTTCATGTCTATTTTCAGATCAAGTCTAATGCAGGTCCTGTCGATGGATCTTCAGCCGCATCGCGAAAGAGGCAACTGTTCGTCTTTCGCAACGGCAATGGACAAGTTAACTCAGGATGCGACGAAAGCGAGATGGGAATATCTTGAGCAATCTAGATCACCAAACGGATATATAAAGAGCATGGTTGAGCCCTCGAGTTGATGATTTGAAGCATCCAGCATCACAACAAAGACACATCAACACCACAGAAGCATCAGCGTCATCTCCCCGACGCAACATATTCACTTTACAACATATACCCTATACACTACAACCTACAAAATGAAGACTGCCCTTGCCGCTCTCGTCTTCTCCCTGGCATCCCTCGTCAGCGCCTATCCCATCACCGGCGATGTCGTCAACTGCCGCACCGGCCCCGGCACTAGCTACAGCATCAAGAAGTCCTACAAGAAGAACCAAGACATCTCCATCAGCTGCCAAACGGCGGGAACCAGCGTCAACGGCAACAACATCTGGGACAAGACCGCCGACGGCTGCTACGTCGCCGACTACTACGTCAAGACGGGCTCCAGCGGCTACGTGACCAAGAAGTGCACCGCTTCGTCCGGCGGCGGCTCCTCGTCCTTGAGCTACTGCAAGACCATCAACACCGCCGGCGTCGATCTCATCGCCAAGTGGGAGGGCTTCGTCGCCAGCCCAAAGCCCGACCCCATTGGCCTGCCCACGGTTGGCTACGGCCATCTCTGCCAGCAGAAGAACTGCAGAGAGGTGAAATACAAGTTCCCCTTGACCAAGGCCACCGCCAAGGAGCTGCTGCTGGACGACCTGCCCAAGTACACAAAGTGCCTCGCCGACTACCTCAACGACAAGCCCAAGCTCAACGCCAACCAGTGGGCGGCCCTGACGTCCTGGGTCTTCAACGTCGGCTGCGGCAACGCCAAAACATCGACTCTCGTCAAGCGCCTCAACAACGGCGAAGCTGCCAACACCGTTGCCGCAGAGGAGCTTCCCAAGTGGCGCATGGCAGGAGGAAAGGTTCTGCCAGGCCTCGAGGCTCGCCGAAAGGACGAAGTCAAGTTATTTAAGACGGCGTCATCCAAGCAGGCGTATCCAAAGTGCCAGTAGAGGGTAAACGTAAGCTGAGCTGATGGGCTTGGTTGCTTTACTCAGCCCTACCAGCTGAATAATTGGGATGAAATGGCCCAGGGTGGCGAAGACTTGGCTCGGGGCGATTTAGGGGACCACAAGGTAGATGCAAGTAGATGAAAGTCACTTCTTTCTTTCATTGTCTTTTTTTGTTTCTTTATCGCGGCTTACTAGAGGGTTCCTCATGCAGAAATAGACGAATTGAATTGCAGTTTTTTTTTCCAGCTTCATCATATTATCGAATCCTTTACCTGTGATGTGCTTACAACGTGCATGTTAGCCCAAGTAAGCAAGCTGCAGCTGCAACCCCGATCAAGACAGACAGACAGACAGACAGACAGACAGACACGTCGAAGCTGATGGGATTCAGCCACCACAACCTACGTGTCCCAAAAACCAGGTGAAGCCCTCGCCAAGAAGCAACGCCTCGCGCACGTGTTGCCCCCATTAAGCAAAGAAAAACGTCAACGTTTGGCATCACGTTACCACAAAGTGTGAATCCCATTCGTTGTTCGGCTACGGAAGGGTCGGGCGTGGCTTGCGGTAGACGAGCATCAATCAGATCAAGTCCTCCTCGCCCTAGACCGCAAAGGTATGGGCCCCTTCGATTTCAAGGGTTCAAAGGGAAAATCAAATGCCAATTTTGAATTTTGAATTGGGCGAGGGCGGCTCGATCGGATCCCTCCCGATCCAGAAAACCGGAATGGCCGTTTGTTACAAAATTGCAGGGCGATTGGGCACACGCAGGCGACTCCTATGCAAGAAGCCCTTCAACTCAAAACGTTCTTGCAAACGCCCACCCTTGGTTGTTTGTTTTTTTACGGTAAAGGACCCCCCTTGTCAGGGCTGAAGCCGGGCGGAGGAATATGATGCATTAAACCATTGAGCATTGCCCTCATTGATACGTGTCAAACAGCTGTCTCTTCATACTTGTGGACTTGAATTGTCTTAGCAGCCAGCCACAGCAGCATCAGCTGGGGATAACAACATACCATGAAGCCAACAAAACTGGAGAGTAGAATCATCGACGCGGTAGTGAAGTAACCAAAGCTCAAAGAAACCCACTCAACCAAAGGCCCCTCCCGCGTGCATCCGGGCTCTCACATGATATTCTTCCCTTGCCTAGGGCAGAGCGGCAAACGGGGCTCAGAGGCACAAGCTTCACCTCGCTCCAAAGCTTGTTTGTTCTGCGCTCAGCTCAGCTCAGCTCAGCTCTACTATAGTTTTGCATGTGTTTGTGTGAATTTCGAAAATGCCGTTTAGCAAAAATGGCCCGTTTTAGCCAAGCATTTTGCATTCTCCGAGGCCGGCTGCATTTGCATCTGAATAGCTTCCCTACAAGGCAATCCAGTTGGATTCCAAACGGCAAAAGATCAGCGCTGCGGTGACCTGTTTCCTTTCTCTTCCCCCGCTCCGGTTATTCATGCTTGAGCGTGTGTTAGTGCTCCCTTTATCGCTTAATGCTACGAACCTCCTGTTGTCTCGGGTCTCTGCTCTGTCAAAAGGACGGAGTCGAGGAGCAACTTGTCTTTAGTCGGCTATGCTCGCCATCGCCCGCCATTCCCCGACACCAAGGCAGCAGCAGATACGACGAGGAGGCGGGTTGGAATTAGTAATTCATTTCGCCCTTGGGATGTTGCAAAGTAAGGGTGTGGAGGAACTACGTGATTGAGACAAATACATGCAGCTACCGGCGTAGGCATCAACATGATCAAATCCCGTTGTGACGGCCATACGCGACAAGAGGAGTCCATCGTGAATCACTCACTAGAGCCATTGCCGTATCCGCGCCCGCGCCCAGCCGGTTGATACGGGAAGCAGACAATTTTTTTTTTTCGCGCTCAAGGGGGGGTGTGGGATGATTGCCCTCCCCTAGTTACAGGAGTGTGAAACGCAGAATTTTCTCTCGTAGCAATGCCGGATCACGCACGATGTAGTACGACTCGTGCGAAAAAGAAGGAGGGCAAAACAAAACACCAAGAGATATGAAGGAGACGGGGAAAAGCGTCAACTGCTTCGGTCTGCGAGTCACCCCGGTCGCCCGTGTGACGCCGTTTGCACCCACAGGCCGTCTCGCCTCATCCTTACGACAATGTCGACAGATTGTGGATGGGAAATTCCGGATACTCTAGACGCTGTAGATGCTCTGGATGCTGGTCATGATGGTGTGGTGGCCCCATCCAGGCGACCGCTTCTTCCATTCCTTGCGTCTCTCTTCACGGCTTCTCGATTCTGATACTACCGGTATATCCATGGATCCAGCCGGCACTTGAGCGTCACATCTGGCGCATGCATCTTTTTCGAATGAGTCGAACCCTGTCTAGTGAGCTTGGTTGGGCACTGGTGACTCGATGCTAGTCACGCATTCTTCCGTGCCGTAATTAAAATCCCTGGACACCGAGCCAATGGCGACGACGTTGACGACACCAACCCGTTTTTTATCAATTTTTTTTCTTTCCTTCTTCCTTTCTCTCTTCCATCTTGTCGTTTTTTTTTCTTCTTGTTGGCGTAGTAGTAGCACCTTGCCGCTCTGGGCGAGGGTTGTAATGCGGCCGTACGAACAGGGATTCCGGAAGAGGGCAGGGCCAAACAAGATGCAGAACTCGCCAGCGTGCAGCTCGTGTGTGTGCCTTGATGGCTTGCGATGCTAGTCAAGGGGCACAGGAACGTGAACGACGCAAATAGTCAAGTGCAGTGGGAATTGAACAAAGCCATTCTCCAGTTTGCAGAGTTTTTTCCCTCCTTCCTTTCACCTCATCCCTGGCGATGACTCCTTTTTTTTAGAATTTGGCAAATTCAAAATCTTCTGCCAACAAGCAAAACCACAAACGGAGAGAGTGTGAGAGAGGGTAGGTACATGCCGCTACTCGACGGCTACAAGCTCCATGGCGGATTACCCGTTTCCAAATCTGAGGTAGCATGACTGCCAGCCACGTATTCAAGCTTCAAGCCCAGCTTCGGCATCGTCTTTTGAAAAAAAAAGAGACCCACTCCCTCCTGGTGAACTGAGACACGCCTTGGATCGACGTCAGGCAAGCAGGGAAAGGAAATCGGGCGTCTTGCCGAGCTTGTCATGCATCTGCTTGGTGCAACTTGGCGCCCTTTTTGGCACGAGCGACGCCTGCGTATAAGTCGAGCGCCAGTCCCCCTCTTCACCTCCTCTTTCTCGCTGCTACTCTGCTCTGCTCGTTGAGAGAAAAAAGTGGTCTGACTGTAGAACATCTTCTCTTTGTTCCTGTAGTCTCGTTGACTTATAATCTATTCCATCCTGCTGTTGTGTGAAAGCTTCAGAGTCCTCCCCCTTTGTGTGTGCGCGTGAGCCAAACAATAACCACAATTGCTGCTCGCACGCCCCCGGAAACAACAAAGAGCCCGCCGATCCGCCATCTCCGGCATACAATGCGCCGCTGCTCTTCTTCTTCATCAATCAGCTCCCAGTGGTCCTCTATAAGCGACGACCAGCTCAACTGCATCATCCACATCAACACCACCACCACTTCTGCCACCACAGTCGCCGCCAGCAACTCTTCTGTTATATCTTCGTCTGCCTCTGTTGCACCTTCAATTCCGCCTTCAGTCCACACAATGTCGGAGCGCCGCCCTTCCATCCCCGAGTATGAGCGCAGTCGCCAGGGAAGCACATGCTCCGTACTGAGCTGCGGCGGCATGAGCCCTGACGCGACCAAGGAGCTGTGGAAGACCATGTTGGAGCTCCAAGAGCGATATGGGTGCTATACCTCTGCCAGGATGGATATGGCCGTTGGAGCGGGAGACATGGCCCTCTCTCTTATGCGTAAGCTTTTTTGGCCCTTGATAAGACCGGCTGACCAAACGAAAGACGGAAAGTGCTGACGTGACAAAATACAGCGAATCCCTTCATTCTCGATACGCTAAACGACTCTGTCGTCGATCTGCCCGACGAGGGCTGGGAGATGCTCAATCGCTGTCTCCGACAGCCCAGGCATTAAAATCCTGGCCTGCTATGACCTGACACTCTACAAACCACTGCCGACCGCAAGTCGTGCTGGTTATTCGAATGAAGCGCGGTAGATGAGGACGACATGATGGGTATTATATATTTTCTGAAAGGCGTCTTGGAGTTGGACACAAAATTGCGGCGAAGCGCTTGGGTTCTTTTTGCATTTCATCTCATCTCATTGTCTCACGGCATTTCTTCTTTGCTTTATTTTTACTCCATTTTTTATTTTGTTTTTTTCTTCTTCTCTTTTTTCCCTTTTTTTTCCCAAGATACCCTGTCCTTGTTTACATGTAATGTGTAACGCAACAACACAGATTGATGCCCATGCCAATTTACACGTATACAATGCATCAAAGTACAAACCTTTTTACAAATGCAAGACAAAAATGACACAAAATATCATTCCGCAGTGCCTAGTCAGACGATCATACATCGATGCCGTGTTGCAGTGCATATGCCATATCATAAGAATAAAAAGGTCACGCTGTCAGCCCATCGCGTGCTCGTCCATCACAGCGTCTCATCCAGCAGTGCGTGCGTTACATTGCCCATGGCCCTTGTCTGGATCTTCATGCTATCTAGCACCCTTGACTTGACCGTATCATCCTCAATATCCGTCCCCATCAAGATGCCATGCGCTGATCTAAACTCGTATGCCTTCAGAATGCTCCACATCCTGTGTATCTCGTCCGCGGGCAGAGGAATGCTGTTTGGGAAACTCCATAGGAATGAAAATGAGTTCAGCCCAGGCGGCTTCTCCCGCTTCTCTCCAAGAGCGTCTACTTCCCACTTCCCGATCCCCGCCGGTGTCGCCATCAACGTGTCTGCAGTGAACAGCCGCCCGTCAAAGAGTAGTACCGTGGACCCGGGGAAATGTCCGCCTAGCTTGATGGCCTTGACTCCAGGTAGAATGTCCGTGTCGATTTCGGCGAGGGGTTTGCGGTGAGCTGATGGTGTAGTCGTCCAGCGCAAGTCTTCGGCTGAAGTATACACGGGACATTGGAACGCTCTCGCCCACTGGACATGCGTGCTGTAGAAATGAGGGTGGCTGATGACGATGGCCTTGAGTCCCCCGAGCTTCTTGATCTTATCAATTGTCTCTGCATCCAGATACGAAATACAGTCCCAGAGGACGTTGCCTTGCGGAGTGCGGATCAAGATCGCCCGCTGCCCAATTGCAAAGCGCGGCACCGTGTGAATGGAAGTGACTCGATCATCGTGCTTGTAGGTTTCAAACTCATTGACGTGTCCCGAGGCGCGAATATCGGCCATGGTGGTAAAGGACTGACCCGTGGGAGGGACATACTGCCGAGGGTCATCACAGACATGGCACGTCTTGACAGCGGTGCGGTCGGCAGTTGGGAATTGCGTGCCACAAGTGTTGCATATCAACCACGAGGAGGAAACGGTCTCTTCATAAGGCTCTGGAGCGAAATCCATCATGCCGGCTGCCAGTGGCGATGAAGCTTCGACATTTGGGCATCTCCGGCCGGCCCTGGGAAGCTGAGCTGGTTCATGTTATTTATAGGGCGCGCGCGGGGTTGGAGAATAGACTTTGCGCGGCTTTTTGATGAAATTACAGCCGAAGCTATCCTCGTATCCGAGACGATTCCGCGTGACGATGAGGTTTGTTTTGTTTTCGTTTTCTTGTCTCGGATTGATTTGTGTGTTGACGTGGCCGAGACGGGACAAATGATGGCGCCGTATTACTGCCCACTAACAGTCAGAACTCTGTGCCTTGAGTATATGTGCTTGGGCTGGTGCTTTGTTATTAGATAGCTGTGCAACTATATGAAACCAATGATTGAAGAATTAAAGAGCTATGGCTGTAGCCATAATAAGCTTAAAATGTTCCGTCGGGTTGTGTTTGTTGTCGTTCATCTGTCCAGCGGCACGATAATCCAATATGGTTTCACAGAGTGCGATGACATCATCAGATGCACTCGATTCACGGGTGGTCAGACGTCAACAGAGACACCAAAACAGCGTAGATCTTGACTATGAGAGGCCATGATGGCTGTATATAGGTAACTTCTCGGGATGCTGAAACTGACAGCTATCTGTCGATTCCTGCGGCAATGGCGCGTACCAAGTCCGCTGATCACGGTGTCTACAGAGGCTTCAAAACGTGAACCTCTATATAGATATACAGGACGAGGCAGAGTCATTAGCTTCAATAAAATTAGTATGAAGCAGTGTTTTATTAACATTTCATTACACAAATTCACGATTCAACTGAATTGACCGAATGATCTTCTCTTTGAGTGTCCATGTAGACAATTCCGTCCAAATTCATGCAGACGTCCACTGGTGCTTGATCCCCATCCCAACGGACGAGATTTCGGAGCTCCTCGTATTTCAATTTCGCAATACGGCCATCTCATCAGTCTCTCCTATTTCTCATTCCGTCTAAAATTATCTTCAAAGTGTTTTTACATCCGTAAAATCCGCATCTCCGTGAAAACAAACGATCAGAGCATGTAAACGTTTACAACGTGGATTCCCTTTCCCCGTTAATTTTCAACGATGCATTAATCAATCCTTCCGTGTAACCCCTTAATTGACCAATCGGCATAAACACCTTGATGATCTCCCAAGTAAAACACCAAATTGGATCGACAGAGGCCGGTTTCCAATCTGTTCGGACAGATCGTCCTTCGTCCGCGGACCAAAAGTATTGGCTGTTACGACTCCACACTCGACAGTTCCTTCACAGTGCTACGCTAAATACTCAACTCTACGGACAAATCGTCCGTGGTGCATGATGGCAGTGTTGGAGATACCGGAATCATAACGTTGACATCAACAACAACACCGAGGTTCGTATCGTGTAGAACAGCATCTCTGTAGAATAATGAGAACACCAAGAACATAAAATGCTTCCATCTCCCGTAGCTTCATCTCTCGTAATACTCCCAAACGAGTAGCACAATCAACTTGATAACCACCTCAATCTCATACCCCATACAAAAAACTCCCATTTCAACAGAAAACAATGCCTCAAACAGTCTTCCTCGTCACCGGCACCACCTCTGGCATCGGCGCCTCCCTAGTCAACCACATCATCTCCCGCGGCGACAAAGTCATCGCCTCTGGCAGAAACGTGGAAAAGAAACTCGCCCACCTCAAGTCCAAGGACGTGGCTCTGCTGGAACTCGATGTTGCAGCGGGCAAGTCCGTCGTGGAAGCTCAGGTGAAGAAGGCGTGGGAGATTTTCGGACACATTGATGTCTTGATCAACAATGCCGGCATGTCTGCCATGAAGACTATTGAAGATGCCGAGTAAGTGTCGCTCATACGTCTTTCTCTCTCTACAACTTCAAACCCACGATAGGTACATGTAGTTCTAACCACAAACTTCTGAATAGCGACGACTACATCAACACCATGTTCCGGGTCAACGTCTTCGGCCAACTGCACATGTCTCAGGCCATCCTGCCCTTCTTCCGCGCCCAAGGCCACGGAATCATCTCATTCACTTCCTCCGGCTGTGCTTGGGGAGCACTCCCCTTCCTGGGCCACTACTGCATGACAAAGGCAGCGTTGAGCTCCTTCGCCGAGAGTCTGCACAAGGAAGTATCTCACATGGGCATCAAGTGCGTTGCCTTTGACATTGGTGGCTTTCCAACTCGTCTGGCTCAGCCTCGTGAGGGCGAAGACGCCGCTGATGCCACGGTGAATCCAGACGACGTGTCTATCCCTCAGGCTCCCGTTTCTGAGCCCTATGCAGGGGTTTTTGGCCAGTATCTCAATCTGTTCATGCCTGACCACACGTGGGTTATCCCCGGCGACCCTGACAAGGCGGCATCCGCAATGGTGCAGGTTATTCAACGTGAAGGACCTGCGGCAGGTCGTCCCTGGGCAGTTCGCGTCGTTTTGGGGTCGGATAGCTTGATTTATGCGACGAAAAGGCGTGCGGAAGAAACCAAGCTCTTGGAGAAATGGAAGGATGTGAGCTCAAGCACTGACGCGAGAGAATTTGTGCTTAAGCCCGAGTATGAGAAGTACATTGCCGTTGCTGGAGCTGAAGAGTAAGATGTCAATTTCTAGATTCAGAACTATTATAGCTTTTGGTACTTGCCCAGCTTTAACTATCAAACAAAACGTTTACTGAGCCAACGCCGCCTCAATCTCTTCCGCAAAGCCCTTCTCCCACGCCTCCTCTCCAATCTCCGGCTTCCATCCCAGCACTTCCCTTGTCAGCTCCGCATTCGTACATGACCTTGATGCAAACCCTAGTTCCAAGTACTGCTCAACTGCACCAGGCGCATCTCTCGCCAAATCCTCCAGTGAAATCGCCCGCGGTTCAGCCTCCAAGACGCCAGCCGCAGAGCCAGCCCTGGCGATGCCTTCTGCGACCTGCTTCCATGAGTGGCGTCCACTGCCGCCAAAGTAAATACCTTTTCTTCCAAAAGGCACGTCTGCCTTTGCAAAGAGCTTCTCCAATAGTAGCTCATAAATCTTTGTGGTATCGTCGATGTGAATGTGATCCCACACGCCGGCTCCCTCGCCAATATACTCTGCGTAGCCCTTCTTCACGGCCCGTTTGGACAAGAAGGGAACCTGAACAGAGCGCTTGTTAAATGGACCCGATCCGATGCCGTAGATTGTCGGTGCCATGAGGATGTATGTCGGCACGTTGAGTTCTTCTCCTGCTACAACGACGGCAACGTCACACGCCCGCTGTGGATATGAGTCGTGAGCTTCGCGCTTTAGCTCGTAGGCGTGAATGTCTTGAGTCTTGTCGTTAAATTCGAACGGGGCATCTTCTTCGGTGTAGATTTTGCTAACGGGACGATTGCCGACACTGGATGTACCAGATGTCTGCAGAAGCAGTTTAGTATTTAGACAGCATTTGGATAGTATGCCATCCTCACTTACGTGAATAAACCAAACTGGCTCGCCAGTCTTCTTCTTTCTCTCCACCAATCCCTCAATCAACGCCCTCGCACCCAGTGCTCTGAATGCACTGGCCGAGTTGATGACAATGTCATGCTCAGACGCCTCCTTCTTCAAAAAGTCCACCTGGTCGAGATTCTCGAACATGACTGGCGTCATGCCAATAGACTTGAAATGTTCTGCATGCTCAGGTTTTCGCACTAGCACGGTATATGACAGATTTTTGATGTCTAGATGGGTCGAGTTGAGGAGTCGAGTGAGGATAGAACCACCGCTGGTATTCTGTGTGAGCCTGGAGTTCTTCAATCAAGCATCATTGATCAGCCTTACATGTAGCCAGTCGCACCGGTGACAAGAACCTTTGTCGGAGCCATTTGTTCTTGCTTAAGGATCAATTTAAAGATGTCTTTAATCAAGAGTTAGTTGTAAATGGGATTAAACTAAACAACCAGATCCGATTCATCATTCCACAGCCTCCATTTATAACAAAAGAGCTACACCACACAAACGCGAGTAAAACAACAAGCCTCCAACGCAACTCGTCACCAATTATTAATTCACCACCCTCTCCATTTCCACCACCCAACAACTCTCTCCTCTCATCAAACTCAACTACCTAATTGGAAATAATGTCCAAAAACAGGCGCGGCCATACTTTCTGACCACGGCTGCCGCAGTGGAGCAAGCCGTTCCGATTAGCCTTGGCCGGGTCCACATGAGAAGACAGGAACGGCAGATCCAAAGGATCCAAAAGACTCTTGAGCCAATTATGTACCAAGTGCGGCGAAAGTTGCTTCTGTCCAGCTTTTCAAGGGGTCGGGGATACCCAGTTTCTGAATAGGTTTCTGGAACTTTGGAGTTGTTGAGTCTTTTTTTATAACAACACGAACTGGAATGTATTATCAAGTCACAACGCAATTACAAATCTTACTGTCTATCAAGAGAAAGAGTTGCGTCAACACGCTTCCCACATTTGATGCCCCATGGCAATCAATCGGTTAAACAGCTCATCGCGCATTGAGATGGCCGTCAAGTGATACTCGATTCCATCCTTTGTTCTTACAACCAACCCATCCACCACTTCTCTCTCCATGGCCCATCCAACAAGAATCTTAGTCTTCCACCCTAAGCCGCCAACTTTTTTCAGCTGGTCAATGTCTTCAATGGCTACTGTCCACGCCGGATTCACGTCCTCGATATCCGAGGTCCAGCTCAACGCGGGACTCGTAGCCGTGGCCGTGATGTATGCATGGCCCTTTTTACCACGGCACCGCGCAGGGAAACAGATTGGACCCGACATGGAGTCGGAGTCTGAAGGCTTGTTCACGACACCGAGACGATTTCGTGCGTGAACAGCACCGGCTGCAGCTTTGGCTTTGTCGGCAGCGAGGGCCGTGTGCACGCCACCCTTGGCGGTGCCTTTGAGCATATTGAGGATCCGATGTGACCGTTTGGGCTTTCGCTGCTCGCTGTCGTCTTTGATGTCTGCTGCGTGGTCTAAATCAGGCCGAAGCGCTTGCCTCGCTTCCTCTTCGGTGACACCTATAAGACGTTAGTATGCGGTTTACATAGTAGGAATGCACAAATCAAGTACATGTACCTAGATTGTCGACCTGCTGTGCAGCTTCAGGATCAATCTTGGGAGGTGGCGGCGCATCGGAGGATGGAGGTGGAGGAATTGGCGTCTTGTTCTTCTCGCCGATGCGCAGCAGCGTGACCGCAAGCTGTGCATTAGTTGGAATGCCTCGTAGAATGGTATTTCGCAGCTCAATGAACTTTTCCCAGCGCGGGTATGTCCTGTTGGCAAACTGCAGGGCTGGTGTGATGATTGGATCGCCAAAGAGGACGAATCCAACACCAAACCCAAGACCCTTGAGCAGCATGTACGAAGAAACCCAAAAGGAAAGAAATAGCGGAGGCAAAAGACAGGCAGACAACGTCAATCTCGGCTGCTCGACGGGGAACGGTGGTGTCGGACTGAGGGCATTTCCAAAGCGCTCCCAAGTATCGACCAGCTCCGAAATTAGGTGCATGACAGGCCCAGTCTTGGTCCAGACGATGTTGGAAACGGGCTTCTTTGTCCTGTCATGTTCCACAGAGGTCTCTTTTCCGTCTGTCGCGTCCCTGGCGGCGGAAATGTCCTGCGTTATGTTTGTTGGATCTGGGGCGGTGTTATCGTCGTATGGATCACCTTGCGGGTGCTTCCCTGCGCTCGTACTTATGACGACCTAGAGAAGAAGGAGAAAGATGTGAGCAGTAATTCTTTTATTAAGCCAAAGGGGAGCATAAATCTTACGCCGGCACATACCGACGCGATGCTGTTGACGAAGCTGTGTGCTTCCTGCTCAACGCCCTCGCCTTCGTGTTTCTCCGGCGCACCAGTGATGGACGTGTCAGAAGCAAGGACACCAGACGGCGGTTTCTGTACGCCCCCTGTCTTTGAGTCAACGATGGATGGTGGTGCTGGTGGGAAGCAGATTGTCCTCGCGGGCGGATAAGCGATCAAGACGATGAGAAACATGATGACGGCCGGTATCAGCAGGTCAAACAGCCACGCAAAGCCGTACACACCCAAGAACGCTGCCGTTCTCTTTGTTTCTCTCCAAGAGCGGAGGCGTACAATTTGTTTCCACAGAGAAACAACAGAGACCACCACCGTCATGTATAAGCGCTCCAACTGCGCGCGCAGCTTGTCTGGAGAGAAGGCATCGTCTTCTGCAATGTTCATATCCAGGTCGGCCAGCGGAACGGTGTCTATGCTCTTGACCTCAAAGACCTGCTTGTTGAAGCGTCTGATGAGGAGCCAGAGCTCTGCATTTCTCATTCCGCCAACCACCGGCTGCGGGACGCATTGTGCCTTTTCCTTCCACCCAATGTTCTTCACCTCGATCTCGTCGTGGTCAATCTGGCTGGCGCCCTTGTTCTCGACCTCGGTCTGGATGCTTTCCTCGGCGAGAGCATGGCTGGCGGTTGGAACTTGCTCATCGTAGCTTTCGATTATTTCGGGCTCGCTGCCGAGGCCAGCGGAGGACGTGTTGCTGCTTTGGTCTGGAACGTCCATTTCGAACTTGAGGAACGTCCCATGTAGTAAGATTGAGGCTATCGCGATGTAAATTGATGAAGGTTGAAGAGTATTCTTCTCACTTATAAAGCAGAGAAATTGACTCCATCTTGGCAGCCATATAGACCGATCCGGTATCCATTTCAGCTGGGCCTCGATCTTGCCGCCGACGTCAGAATCGTTGCTTGGAGCTCGATCGCGGCGTTGACGTCACTGACTCTGGTCCAGGTTAGGCGGGATTGGCGATGATCGGCGTCCTTCGTCTCCTACACAGACAGAATGAATCGCGTTGAAGCCATACAGAGGGGGAATGGAGTCAAAGACAATAAAATGATGGAAATATGAAAGAAGAGATAAAGTAACAGTTGCCAGCTTCAGATTGATTGCTTTCTTAGAGCGAGTTGAGGGAGCTATTGCTTCTGCTTACCGCCGCAATGTAATGGAAGAATTGTGGGTGGATGGTGAATAGCCGCCACCAACGCCTATGGCGCAAAAACCACTGCAAAGTAATCTTCAAGCTTGAAATAGTTGGCTTTAACTAAGGAAGAATTTCATCTGAATGTTCTAAGATCCTCCTTTGTGTCCCTCTGGTGATCTCAGATGTTTTTGGTGGGCTTGTATGAGCCATCTGGAATAGAATCCACTACTCTGCATGAGTGACACGCTTTTCATTGCCAAATTACTATTGAATTCTTATTCATTTAGTTACAAGTCTTGAGGCAAAAGCTCGTATGAGCCACTCTTTAGAAGCAATACGGAGCAGAGGGCTCTAACGTTGGAGACCACGATCCAAAATCACACTGGCAAGTCCCACAACGGAAATCATCTACGTGCGATCGTATTAACCAAGTAACAACACCCACGAAGACGGCGATAAAATCACCCACATAATCGATAAAGCTGCGGCTGATAAGTGTGGTGGACAAATGTCAGACACAACAAGGGTCAACGCGTGAACAACTCACCTCGCATAACCCGATGAGGCTTCACCACTAAGAGGCGTCCAAACTGGCCCCCAAAGTACACGTACAGGCGCTTTGATGCAGTCGCGCTTGCGATGCCGTGATCCACGCGTAGAGCCTTTCCCTACCTCACGTGCAAAGCTTCATGCAGCTGGTATTCTTTCGGTGAGACTTGGTGTTTCGCCCGCGGCTCAGTTCCCCGCATCTAGGGCATCACCAGATTGTGAAGGGAGATTCTGGGATTCTAGTAGTATCCGCAATAGCCCGTAACAAGGCTGAGCGGTGTTACAATAAGTGGGTTTTGTTGACTCACCATAGAGTAATGATTGCCGAGATTCGAGCTCTTTGTGGACACGGCCGATCTAAACGATCTCGCGATCCTGATAGATCTTGTCTCTCACAGCGATCGGACACCGTAAAATTGATCGCCGGATCCAGGAAATCGGTTAAGGTGAAACAAGCTTCGTCTACCGACGGCCAGATGACCCAAGAGGTTGGTAAACGACGATAGCGAAGTAGCGAAGTAGCGAAGGCGAAACAGCATAAAATGGTAGACTCCGCGGAGATATCTAAAATACAGTGAGACGCCTTGCTAGTATGCTAGCTTAAGAATAGAGCAAAATTCTTACTGGAGCACCTGCAGAAGAATGGCTGGGCTTTGGATGCGAACAAATGCGAGGGCGTCGTTGGGCAGCATCGGTCAGACGAAGCGAACAATGGCTACCTATGGGCTGAATGCCTATGCCGTTGAGCGCTCCTCGCCATGATGCTTCAGTTTATACTACATAATAGTGATATTTTATGACTATTATATATACACCTATATGGCGACAGTAATCGCAGCGCTCTGTAATGTCCAAACATTTGCTCTGGGCTTCTCCCGTCTCCCCGTTCATCCCTCGCGTCATACGCACACCGACAAGATGCTTTCTAGTACTTGCTAAACTTCAAAACAAAGGGACCCAAGACATTTTCTCTTCAAATTAATGCCGCATTTCAGCGGGAAAAGCAAAATTGATACAAGCTTCAAAAAAACGCAGATCGTAAACCCTTGTTCTTAGTGTCGTAGACCCTGATTTCGCAAGGGGCACAAAGCTTGTATGCTTTCCCATACCACGTGGTGCTCTTGCACCTGGAGTTCTGATCACATAATACCTTATTCAACTGTTGACCCCATTTCAATATGGATGAGTAAACAAGTCAAAAGTATTTGGATTCATCTAGTAGGAGTCGCATATCATCTGCTTAGGCCGTAGTACAGCTGTACTGCGGAAAGGTTAAAAAAAAAGATAGAAAGCAAAGCCTGGTGTGAAGAGAAAGCATCATATGTGCACATAGTTTACCTAGACAAGTGAAACATGGAAAAATAAAAGATAATAAAAGAAAGAAGGAAACAATAGCGCCTTAGCGCGACGTAAAAGATGGATTGTCTCTCGCTCGTTAAGCCAAGCCGGGAAGCAATCCGCGGCATGAACCACGCCAATCGAAAGGTATATGTTGTTTGATGGGGCGGTTTGCCCAAAAGTAGAAGAATTATGGTCAAACTAATACTTTGTGCTAGTATCTTGATGATATGGATAATGGTGATGTGAAGGAGAGGCGGCTTCCGTCTACTCTGCGCACTCCCCTCTCACGGAGTTACTATGCAAGAGTACATGAACTTTAAATGACGTCGTATTAAATTCCTGCAGCTATTATATTATTTTATGATTATTATTTTTCTTTTCAACTCAAACTCTGGGATAGTGTGGATCCATCACATATCACACAAGGCCTCGCTTTCAGCTAGCAAGATGTCTTGTACGCATGCACTGCAAGATCTCCTCGATCTTGAGACAGATTTCCGGGCCTCTCCTCTTCTGGGACCACTAATACGCGTTCCAGGATATTAATTCAATCTATTTACGCATGGCGTTCATGGCGTGGCTTTCCTTTTTACATCACAATCTCAGACATGAAATTTGGACGCCATTGATTGGTCCTCGACGACAGGCGTACTCCCGCCGTCGAGAGGAGCCACTCCATGGGCAGCGTACTCCCGCCGTCAAGAATTGAAGATGATTCGAACTCTCGATGGGTTGTTTGAGCTCTGAGACAGTTGCAAAATGCTTTAGAAGGATGGGATTGAGGACGGCGTTCAGGATGTGTTCTGCTAGGATTAAGGAGAAAGCTTTGATTCGCAATGCCAATGCAGTGGATTAAGAAGAAATCTCAATTGCAAGATTATTACCCCTTCAGTAGAATGCCTGGGATACAAGAATCGTTTGCAGAGTATCTCAAAAATAATCCGAATAAAAAGCGTATCCCTGCCATTGAGAAGCGGAATCTGGTCAGATGGCTCAGTGATCCGAATGCCAAGCCCACCTGTCAGAAGGATTACAGCCGACGCAACTACGCTCACAAGACCTACCGATGGGACGCAACTCGTCAGAAACTCCTGGCCAAGGCTCGGAATGGCAAGGAGAGTGACAGAATTGTCATCACAGTGGAGGAAATTCTCCGAACTGTGGAGGCGGTGCACATCAAAGACCACCTGGGGTGGGATGCAACATGGAGACGAGTCAGCAAGAAATACTGCGGAATCGTTCGACAAGACGTTATATGGCTCATCGTGAGATGTGGCATGTGCAAGGTCGACCCTCGCAAGAAATCAAGGGGCAGCCATGCGAATCAGGCCCAGGCCCAGGCCACGACCACGACCACGACCACGACCACGACCACGGCTCCTCCTGTTCTGCCACCCACGATAACACCCCCTGCAGATGGGCTCGAGTACAACAGCAACAATGATGCCACCCTTCAGGCGCAAAGTTATCAGGACATCTTCCAGGACGTCACTGTGGACGCCTATCAGAACCCCTATCTGGGTGTCTTCCCAGACGACTATCCAGACATCTTCCAAGATGGTCTGATGGATATCTACCCAGAAATCCCAGAAGTCTGCCCGGAGAACTTTCCAGACGTATCTCAGAGTGGCTTTCAGGATCCGTTTCTGCAGGACTATCAGGATGGTGGGTGGCAAGGGGACCTGGTGAACATCGATCCCTCGCTGCTCATGCTCGACCAGACACTCTTCCCCAACTATGGGCAGGGTGAGTCCTCGGGCACCAACAGCTACACTTACGGTGATGGCAACGATCCCGGTCAATAAGCCGTGGAATACGACTCCAGGGCTGTTACGAAACAAAATGGTGTGCCACAAGGGCCAGAATGGTGCTGTGGAGGAGGAGGAGAAGGATGCTTTCTGCATCAGTACTGAGGGTTTCAGCCCTGGAGAGATTTGAATGGTTCGATGCCCATTGAAGCCTCATGTTTGGCTGATTTGGCGTGGAACCTAAGAAATTTGTGTGCCTATTTTCCCTTTGTTCAGGATATTAGTTTAACTAGGATGTCAGATTGTCACTCAATTGATTTTTGTTTTATGATATTCACCTGCTCCTCTCAAACTTCTTGAGGATGGAGACTCTGTGCTTAGGGTTGCTGCCCAACTTGGTGACAGTTTTGCCTCAGTGGAGGCAAGGCAGACTGTTGAAGAATCAATGACTCCATCATCCAAGAGATGGCAGTCATGCCTGAACAATGCAGATTGTCAAGTTAGCTACGGAGGGAGGGAGTATCCATACTTATACCTTGTCTAGAGATAAACTATTGGTAACTGAACAAGGGTGAGGATCCATGGATGGTAGTGTGGTGACCCCATGGCCCCGTTCTGAGCAACTTGATGAGCGGCGTACGCGCGTAGACGATAAAATCAGCAGCGGTAAGTGAGACTTCCCAGGTGATTAATGGATGACAGAGAAAGATAACTGAAATGTGGCAGGTAATCTAAAGAGCAAACAAGCAGGGGGTAGTTTGCCCAGCCCCTCTGATGGCTCTCAAGAGCGGATGCTGAGGAAGAAAGTTCTCAACCTCCTCCTGGGGGGGAAAGAGGCCATTTTATATCCCTCCCCCCCCTAGGATTCCCATCCTTGAACAATGTGTGTCAGGGGTGGGCATATTATTACAGCCATGACACGTATCATGCTGCAGCTCTGGATATCCATTGGTGACCCTTGGGAATAGTTACACAGAAGCTTAGCCATGTGTAACTTGATATCTTACGAGAACGTGTCGTCTTCAGCCTATGGGGGTAGCCCATCAGGCACCCCCTTTTGCGGAATTCATATGAATGGAATTTAGGCAAAGCAATTTGCGGACATGTTCCGGAGACACGAGCTTGCTGCTTTGGGAAGATATATGTTATACCAGAGACTGAGGGATTTGAGCTCTTCTCGCTTCCTTTATGTCATCAAAGGCTGAGAGGCATCAAAAAGGCCTAAGAAAGTATGAGGCAGTGCTCACTGCGTCGTGTTGAGGTCATATACCCCCTGATAGTTGGTCATGAGAAGTTGGAAGTTGTGGCATTCGTTTGGTTTCTATTGGTCAGGAAGCACCGGAGACACCTCCGGACCCAGCAAGAGTCCTTGCTGCAGCTTGTCTCTAGCCAAGATCAAGGACAGCCAGAAGTACTGCCGTTTTGCCACTAGCTTGGAGAGGTTGAATGGATGAAATGACTCGTGATTGTCTGCTGCTTGAGGAAAGTGGGCTTTGTCGTTAATATCTGTTTCTCTTATGGTAGAGACATGGCATTGATTGGCTCGCAGACTGGCATGTAGTCAAATGTGGTAACCCGTAAGGAGTGGCGATCTAAGTGAACATCTGACTGGTCGAATGCAATCTTGTTAGTATTAGTGGTTATTCGCCCTACTTAGCAGTAGCTCTAATGTGGGACAAGTGCAGATTTATTACTGGTGTTATTTACATGGGGAGCTGCAACAGACATAGAGACTTGTGAACAAGCAGGTTTGTAATGAGGAATTTAGAGATTGAAGGCTGAAAATGCGAATTCCATATAGATTACTCATGATCTTGAATCCCGAGATCCGGTTAAATACGGCTGACTAATCAAAAGAGCGAGATAATACACGAACTAGTTATGCCCGTTTCATCCGCGTTGCCGCCATTTCTGTCTCCGCAATCTCGACTTTGGCAAGCCGCCAGACGCAATAACCATGTCTAACCATCTCATTGATATCGTTGCAGACGGCGACACATTGATCATTCTTCCAGTTGGGGATACTCCAGACTCGGGGAGTTCCGTGTCCGACGCGGGAGCTGTGGCAGACGAAAAATCCGTAGTGGATGACGAGAACGCTTGGGCAGATGTTGAAACCATCACGGACCCGGAAGTTATCGCAAATGAGAAGACTGGGACAACGGCAAATGAGTCTATCCGTGCTGCAAAGAGACTGAAGTTATCAGATGGACGCCATGCAGGTACGTGCCAAAGGCTTGGGTAACTCAGCTCGCTGGCACAGTAACCTCGAATACTAAAGCAAGCTCAATAGAGCCAGAGACCGGTACCGCCGAAGCTAGTCGAGAAGTATTTCAATTCAAAGTTTCCATGAGGCATCTGGCGTTGGCCTCTCCTCGTGCAAAGGCTGTGTTACAAGGTCCCTTTAAAGAATCCACGCCGCATGAGTCCGATGGCCTTCTTCATTGGGAGCTTGCACCTATATTTGACCCAACAGCGTTTGAGACGGTGATGCGAATAGTCCATGCACAGAACAAAAAGCTTCCTGAAACGGTAACACTTGAACAGTTGGCGAATATCGCAGCGATTGTGGATGACTTGCAATGCCAAGAGTCGGTTGAATTCTTTGCCTCGCTGTGGGCTAAGAAGCTGGCAATCAAGCCGCCAGAAGAAATAAATATAGACTTGGCAAGGTGTATCTTGATAAGTACAGTGTTTGGGTTGAAAGGGCTGTACGAAAGCTCGACGTTGCAGGCGATCCTCAGCTCAACAGGCGCCATGCCGGTCTTTGGATTGCCCATTTCTCCCGATGCCTTAGGTGAGAATATTCGACTACACATTGCAATTGAAGGCTAACAGAGATGCAAGACGCCATAGATAATGCTCGAAAAGATTTGTTGAGAAGGAGACTGAGAAGATTGCTTACCATTGCCGAAAAGTATAAAAACCCCAGGCTCTGTCTCACATGCAGAGCTGGAAGCCTCGGGTTAATGCACGTCAACATGCACGCAAATAATCTCCCAATGGATTCTTCAAAAGAGCTGACTGATGAATCTCTGAAGCAACTTGATATAAAGGTCAAATGCTTTGCCTATCCACAAGTGGATTACAGGGACTCGTTCAAAGCTGCATACAAGCAACACGGACTACATCCTTCTTTGGAGGAGGATATCAATCATTTTATAAAGCACTTTTACACAAACATGCCGAAATTAAAGCTTCGCTGAAGACTGTCAAACTTGAGACTCAGCAATCAGCAATCTTTGTTAGTTTCGGCATGCAATGGCGCCAACAATCATGCGTGAGAGAAAGGCTGGTATTGGGATTGAGAAATGAATTACCTGTTTGGAAAGTCACATTCTCAATATTGATGTGAATTCAACATCAATGTAATGAGGTAGATATCGCGTACCTATAATTGGACCCAGTAATAGAGAACATTGATCAACTAAACGTAAACTGCTATCTAACATCAGTTTTGTTGAGGCAGTCGAGATTCAATGTCCCAATTTGGTTGAGCCGTGTCGCGTACTCTATGTTTAAAGGTAAGTACATGTAGTGATAGTTGCAGATACCACCTATACTTTAGTAAGTGGGAGAATGTAACGATCGTAGCCGTACTAGAAGAAGGTAGCAAAAGTAATTGATACCACCAAGATGGCAGAATCATGAAGATGACGATTGTTTCTCTCGATCTCGTTACGACTAGTTGTTTGTACCATTTAGTCTCTATAGAATTAAACGCTCAAGTTGAGGTACGCAACCAGGGACCACTCCCTTCTTTGATGGCAGCGGTGATGTCTGGTATTGATTGTTCCAATAGTAGATCTCTTACTCCGTATATATATGTACTGATGGCGCCGGAAACAAGTGGAGATTTAAGGTCATTATTAGCGTTCAATACGAATACAGGGGCTAAGTTTATCCACGGAGCTTGACACTACGCTAAACTGTCTGGCTTCAAAGAACAACCTCCAACGACAACGACTTTTGACACAAAGACATCGGACGAAATGCCAAACAGCTATCAGGGCCAAAACCGCATGTACAATTCGATTGACTAATCAACGCACAGGAAGAAAAAAGAAAAAAAATCTGCCTCAGGCAGCCAGCACAGGCCAACTTCTAAAGCGCAACTCCATCAAACGGATCACTCACTCAGCATCTTCTTCCCTCGAAGCCTGTTGTCTGCCAACACCACCGAATGCAGCAGCCATGGCTTCTCGCCACGTTGATATCGATCCCGATGGAGACACGCTGATCATCATCCCTAGAATCAAAGCCGAAGGCGATGGCAAGGACGGGGCATCCCAAGTGACGTTCAAAACGTCCATGAAGCATCTCACTTTAGCATCACCCCGCGCAAAAAAGGTGCTGCAGGGATGCTTCAGTGAGGCTACACCACAAGAATCAGATGGGCTTCGCCATTAGAAGTTCGATCCCATGTTCGATCCTGAAGCCTTTGAGATTGTTCTGCACATCGTTCATGCACAAGCTCACAAGCTCCCGAAGCAATTATCGCTCGCCACGGCGACACAAGTTGCCGTCATTGCTGATGATTTGCAATGCTGCGACTTAATCGCATTTTTTGTTCGAAAGTGGAGCGTGTACAGCGACTTTTGGGCAGCGTCATCAACATACCGCGAGTTGATCAAAAAGATTTTCATATGCTCAGTCTTTCGAGTGAAAGAAAGGTTCCCTAAGTTGACATACACTGCGGTAGCTTGTTCTTTAACGCAAGTACCCAACTTGGGCCTCCCTATTGATCCCTCGATCCTCCGTGAGTATCTAGGGCTGTTTTGGAAGTTATCATTTGTTTAGTAGCTAATTGAAACGATAGGAGCCATAGAAGAGAAGCGGGCATCTGTGATGAAGGAGTTTTTGAAGCACCTCTATACCGTGGAAAGGGAGCTGCACGATGAAGCTCTTTGTTGGGAATGCAGAGCGCAGAACATTGGTTATCTCAAATATAACCTACATCTACATCAGCTTCCAACATCAGAGACGTCAGACCAATGGGCGAAGATTACATGCCTAGCGCTGAGGACGAAATTGACGAAGTTCAAATATGCGACGCGTGCCGGCTGTGCGTATCAGGCAGGGACGACGCATCCTTCGTTCAAGACGCCAATCGTGGCGGCCTTGAAGATATTTTCATCTGTTGATGAGGCACTGGATCTTTCTCCATTTCCGAATCCCGCTGCGGCCGCCGAGTAACGCGCCATACAGATGCGAATTCAAGGAGTTGCTTGATTGCTCAGTTTTCTGCTTAGTGGTTGATGCTTGCGACTCTTACCAGGTAGTTTCCCCAGGATATAATTCAGGGCTGTATCTCCAGGCATAGCAGAATAAAATTCATAAATTTGAAGTCTAAAATACGAAGGGTGGATCTATGCCATCTCCAGTATCACAATTTCACGGACTGAATACATGAACGTACCAAGCCAGCAGCATATCCGTGTTGTCTCACATTCGCAAACCCCTGCCTCTGCTTCACAAGCTCATCCAATCCACGAGGTCTGCGCCAACCACAAAGTTCTGTGATTCCACGTCGGGTCCGAGATGGTGACGGAGGAACTGATGTTGAGATTGACCGTCGTCGCCTGCTTTACATAGCGAGAAAATGCGAATCCCAACGGCCCCGCGTCAGGCTCTCCGCACTTTGCAAATCCAGCAATGGCATGCTGCATGATGCTAGCAACATGAGGGTCTACGCCTGCAGCTCCGTCGTAGAATGTATATGGAATATCACTTGCATGGATAGCCGGCGGGACTGAGAATTCCCACGCATGCACTTCTGTTCCACGCTGGATAGTAGCCTGAAGTAGGGCTTGGTGGGCGGCGTCAAAGTACATCTCGTTTGCTATCAAGATGTTTCTGTCAAGGCTAGTTGTATAAGGATGAGAGCCATCGTAAACGGCCGGATAAAGAGCGTTGAGCACGTAGTTGAGGTCTTTTTCTTCCATCAGCGGATAAGTAGCTTGAAGTCTGTTTGCCAATGCCGTTTCATTCCCAATAGTCCGAGGATCAGTAAATAACGCGCCCTCGAAGCTCGTATGAGAGGACAGCAACGGAATGCCCTTAGCGAATGCACCTTCAAGCAACAACTTGGCAGGTGGACCAATCATGTAGACGTCGTCACCAGAAGGGCTAAAGGCAAACTCATTGTAGGGCTCAGCTCCAATCTGTTGGACATTGACAACGTTGAGGGCACTCGAAGACAGTTGTCTGGCTTCCTCCAACGACGTGACATTGAGAATATTGAGAAACTTTTGGAAGCTATCTTCTTGCTGCGCGGGGTCAATCAAGACAGTCAGCGGTATGGACTGTACAATCGCTCTCTTGAATGGAACACGTTGTTTGCCCCCCTGAGCAAGGAGATGGAACATTATGGATCCTGCGCCGGCTGATTCGCCCATGACAGCGACATTATGCTAATGTCGTTAGCCGCGGCTGAGAAAAGATGAGATATCAGAGTTACTTACATAGATCCATACTGTCACAGGGGCCTTTTTACCGTGGGACGTCTTCTTATCCAAGACAGCTTTGGGAACAATTACATCCACGACCAAGCAATCTTCTGTAGTTCGCAGACCTGTAGTCTGCGGAGAATTGTTGGCGATTTCCTCAGCCTCAGTGTAGTTGAAAGGAAGTTGATTCGTTGCCCATGCTGTTGCAAACTGTATCGCAGTGGTTGTCCAGTTGGGAGATGTTTGGGGGCAGATTTTGCCAATGCTGCCATCCTGTATGGTCTTTTGAACGCCCTTGGGTGGGATCGGAGCTCTCCAGCGTAGATATCCTACAGGTGGTTCAGCGTAGGGGATGTTGGTGAAGTTGTAGGCCTTGATTGTGTCCTGGAGATTTGATTAGCCCAAGGAGTGACTGGATACGTGACAGGGGCGGACATTGTATGATATGGCACGATGGACTTGGTATCCTAAATCAACAGTTGGCAAAGATGGATGGCTCGTGGCATGAGCTCCTAGCGCAATGGTGGAAAGCAGAAGAATATCGAATCTGTGCATCTTGAGATGTCTTTTGAATCTGACTCTGATGAAAAGACTGAGCATATGGAAAGTAAGTGATTGCGGCATTTATATACATATAGAGTTGGTTTATATTCAAGCCAATATTCAAGGTCAGATCACAGTTACCACCGTTGATGACTGGATATTTCCTATGATGGCAGTACATTACCAACGATCTTCTCCGTTCCATAACCCGCAGACTTCTAAATCTGGCAATACATGTTCAGGGGTAAAGCGAATCATCGCATGGGTAGATCTCCAATAGGCAGTCATACGCGGGAATATATCGACAAGCATATTGAATGCTAATGAGGAGCCAAGTTTCACTATTCTCCGGCCCTCGGCTATCGATGGGTCTTAAATAGCGTGGCAGGTAGCTGATCCTCGGTATGCCACTATTCAAACAACTACAAGCATTACGAATGTTCTACAGCAGTTCAATGCGGGACAAGGATAAGGCTACTTGGGTCTGAAATAGTATCAAACCAAGCCGTTTCAGGTAAAACAGAGGTTCGTGGACGAATGTTAAGCTTTGATTGCATTGGTTAGATTGGATCCCCGACGGCGTCGGTCTCTTCGAATAGCCCGACAGTCCACGCTGTTATATAATAGTGCCAAGTGGAGCGAATGATATAGAAAGCAATTGAATATTGACGCTATATAGCCTTCTAATATAAGTTTCCAAAAATATGTAGGGTTTGTGGTGGTGATGACGACGCTATTGCTATGCTCTAGTTGACACAATTGTCAGCAATGTTTAAGATTGGTATTCTATTAGTGAGTATAGCCGCATAGGAAATGTATATAGGTGTTATTAGACTGATTAATTTATCAAGGCCAAAAGTATGAGAGTGGTCAAAGTGTCTTGCCCATTTGTCCATCTTTCAGGTAAGTCATCCAGTCCTTACCTCCTTTTAGATACACGTTGTAGCGGAGATGGGAACAATATCTCACTACCACGGCTTTCTGTATTACAAGACCAATATAATGAAACTCTATCCTCACCTAATCTCATACCCATTTGAAACGAAAACCACAAATCCAGCCAAGCCAAACGCTATCCACGAATCAAGCACCTCCAAGAAATGACCTCCCCCAAAGTAACACCACCCTCCAACCCAAATCCTCCATGAACAAAGACATCTCCAATGAAAATAAAAACAAGCTCACCCAGCAGTGTAAGCGCAACAATAAACGCACGCACCCAACACGACCACAGCATCAAGCCACAACTCAATAAACGCTCCACCACCATCATCACCGTGACACAGCCCGTCTAATGATCCAACCAATATCTCTCCTCGGCTACATGCATGCCCCCCATCAAACAAATCACCGATGCAATACCATTCCGATGCATCTACCCGGACACAAACATGAGCCTGTGCCATCCCCCCCCCCCCCAATTCCCATCATGGCCATCCAATCATTCACCTCCGAAGCGAAGTCAAAGTACACAAAAAGCCCACCACAGCAGTAAACGCCACGACGGGAGGGGGAAAAAGTAGACCGGCTTGAGCCTACGAGCTAGTTGGTGTGGACAGCAGAGTGCATCACTGGCGTCATGTAACAGAATGGCACAGACGTCGAGCATTGACAGGCTTAGGAGGTGCATGCATACGAGGTGTCTTTGATGTTGATAGCTGTCATGTCCCTCCGTTCTGACTCATACACGGGATAGTCAGCCGATTTCCCCGTCGCTGGGAAATCGAGCACGAGTGATTGATCTTACGACATATGTGTGCGTTGTTCCTTTGGTGTTTGACGCCTGGCTTACATGTAGTCTAGCATCAGTTGATGCTATCTCGAAGTATACATCGCGGCCCGGTATGCTTGCTCTCTACAGTCCACAACACCAAATCACCCCAACCCTATATAAAAAAGAGAAGAATGAAGGAAAAGACTAGAAGAATGGTAAAGCCTAGTTAATCACCAGATTATACAACAGGCCCAACCAAAATGTCACCGCCACGTGGCCAGCCTCCAGAGGCACCTCCCCGTCCAGCACTAGCAAATCATCTCCCAGCGACTTCACTCACGTACCCGTTGAAGAAGAAGAAAAAATAAATTAAAAAATAACTCAACAGAAAGAGCCTAGAAAGAGTAATCCTTCGCGGGAGATGGCATCGTCGCAGATATATAAAAAAAAAGTGAGTATAAACGAAACGGCGCTTCGGCGGACGCCCGCTCCCGATGCCGTGCCACTGGCTCGCTAAATAACGTGGGATTTCTATCTGCACGGAGATGGATATCCAACGCCCTGTTTTGGGTTGCTAGATGGGCGGATGTTGCATTGCGCGGAGCGTACATGTAAAGACCGGGCATGTGCTATTCCCATATTTAAAAAAAAAAAAAAGAACAAGGTAGCAGCAGCAGCATTGCATTAGATTATACAGATTACAACAGATACAGGGCACGTTTCATTACGACGACAAAACCACCCTCTACATCCATCTCTTTATCTTCATGTAAGGTATTCATCGACGCCGAGAGATCCCCATTAAACAATTCCTTGCATCCTCTATCCATATCAAATACTCCTCCCAGGTATCTGTACATACACATACACATCACCCACTGGGCACAAAGCGGACCCCCCGTCTGGCGGCCTCGGATACGAACTCTTACAGAAATCCCATGGACGCTCTTGGGCACGACTTTTGCCACTTGGGTACAGCGAAAAAATCGCCCTTGTCATTGTCACGATACCCAAAACCCAAGGCAGCTTAAAAAAAAAAAACACACACACACACACACACAATAGCAGCAACACACAATAAACACAAAAACCTGGTAACAACTCTCACCCATGTATGTACGCACAAAGGCCCCCATCTACCTTCTTTTTAGCAAAATACAGCGCCAGCATCTCCATATAAAAAAAAAACTGCAACCTGCTTGCTTGCTGGCTTTTTCCCCGCAAAAAGATAGGCATGGACATTCTCACCGTCCTATCACGCATCCCAACGACTCCATTCTGCCTCGCCGTAAACGCACATTGCTGGGGAGACTCATACACACATACATATATGCGTAACAAAATGGATGATAACGTGCGTATTTCGTACATACATATTTCTTCTTACATACATACCGCATCGCCCCAGCCCACAGACCCCGTACCCGTACATTGGGATCCCGCCCAGCCCACGCAAGTAAGCAAAGAAAGCACCGCCAGAGAATCCACCTCGCTCCATCCGCTCATCCGCAGTCTACCTCTATGTAATAACCGGGCAAAAAGAAAAAAAAAACAAGACGACATTCACATTTCCCATCCATAAAAATATACAATCAACATCAATTCCAAACTCAAGTAACGTAGACACCATGTACCTTAACCCTCAGTACAACAAACCTCTTGAAAAGAAAAGAAAAGGCCTCATATAGAGCTAGCTACTCTCCTCATACAACGTTCTCCAACCTGTCTAATGCTGTCACTCGCGTGCTACCACAGAACAACTCCACGATACGATACCATGTCGATTCCCCCCATGCCACTGCCACTGCCACTGACATGCTACAAGCACAAAAAAGAAAAACCCCCAATGCAACAAGAAGCTCCCACGAACCCCCAAAAAACAGCTCTCGCGTCATACCCACCACCCGCACAACCCACAGCCCACACCCACACGTCAATGTAGCATCGGCGCACGTCACAATCAAGTCAAAAGCACTGCGAAAAGAAGAAGAGACAGGATTGATTGATTGACAGAAAAAATCTCTGTTTGAATTTATTTTGTTTTTGTACACGGTGAAAAAAAAAACATCCTATGCTCGCTATCCCAATGCATCTCCTCTTTTTATCCTTGCTCTTTCTCCCCTCCTCCCTCTATCATTAGGTCTCTCTCTCTTTTCGATCGTTCCATTCGCATAGTTTCAATGACATCTTGTTGATGCATCATTCCAACTCTTTTTCGTTTCCTAGTGGCCATTCAATCCAACTGCCCCAGCTAATCAGAGCTGGTCTGACATACGGCGCAGTAGCCATATGACTAACTAGAGAAATATGCTGTCCCAAAACCGGGAAAGCTGCAAATGAAAAAAAAAATTAACTCCAAGGGTGCTATGCAAGTCCCATTTCCCCGCCCCAGAATTCGGGGCATGTGTGTGTTGTGTGTGTGTGTGGTGGTTGTAATTTTTTAGTGCAATGTAGCGCAAGTGTATATGGCAGGTGTGCGTGTCGTGTCGTGTCGTGTCTAAGAAGAAGAACAAAAATTATGCACGCTTTTTCTCCCAAATCATGATCAAACGCCGACCCCCGCTTATCTACAGGTGGGTTGTGCGGTCTATGTAACATGATGAAAAGAGCATGTAGAGAAAACAAGGGCGAGACGGGTGGCTCCATGCTGAGGTGAGGTTTCCTCGCTCGCCGGTCCAGGTTTTGGTTGTCGCTGCTAGACAGGCTGAGCTGCGAGACATGAAGCATCTCGTGGCGGTGTGTGGATAGTGTCGGAAGGAGTGACTAGAGTCGGGTATCATTTCGTTCAAATTAAGTAATAAAAAGGCGTTAAGCGGGAAAAAAAAAAGTAGTTCGCGTGAGACAATGTTCATGGTTGTTTTTGCCGGCGCTGCAATGTTCTATGGTGGTTGGTCGTCAAGTCGTGGGTCAATCAATATAGCAAAGTCGTTCTGTTGGAAAATGCGGTGAGATCCAAACAGATGGTAAGAGAAAAAAAAAAAGGTGAAACAAATTTCAGAGGCGTAGCTTTTCCGCAAGGTTCTTCCAGAATCGCGGTGTCTTCTCCTCGCTTCGGGCTCGCACCATGTAGGCATCCCGCTGCATGGGCCCGACAATGTCTTCGTCACCGCGGCCAGGGAACTTGCCCTCGGCGTCCAGGGCCTCCAGCATCTGCGGGACGGCGCTGGGCAAACAGCCCCTCCTGCCCCGCCACTGCATGGCCGCGTAGATGTCGTCGTGGCGGCTCTGGCTCTGGCTCTGGCTCTGGCTCTTGCTGCTCTTGCTGGACGGGTGGGCGCTCTCGGACCGGCCACGCCCGCGGCCTCGGCTGCGGCTGCGAGACATGACCGAGGCCCTGGTCATTGGCTGGGTGCGGCGCACAATGTCTGCGTAGAAACCCTTCCACTTGCGCTCAATCTCGGCCCACTTGGCCTCCGTCATGCCGTACGTCTTGCTCGTCTGGCCGTAGTGCTCGCCGGTGCGGACCAGGTGCTTGGTGTAAGCGACCCGTGCGGCGTCCCAGTCGTCGCAGAACTTGGTGACGGTCTCGGCCGTGAGCTCGTCGACGCCGTAAGGCATGGGCGTGATGGTGAAGTTGGCGTGGCCCAGGCGGTCGGACCACTCGTCCTGGTCCTGAAGGATGGACGGCGGCAGGGGCAGCGGAAGCTCCGTCATGACCGAGACGTGGCGGAGAGACGACATGGACGGCTTGGAGCCGAGAGACTGCCGGGGAGTCGGGACGACGCGAGGCGAGTGGACCTCCGTGGCGGCCGACGACGGCGCAATGCTGGGCGACTGGAGGGGAGAAGGCTGCGGAGGCCTTCCGAGCGGGTCGGTCATGAGCGGAGGCAGCAAGGGGGTCGTGGCCATGGCCCTGTCGCGCTCGATGCCTGACCGCTCCTCGCGGCTGAACTCGCCCGTGTGCATGTCCAGGCTGTCGGTGCTCTCGTACGTCTCGTAGAATGGCATGGCCGGCGGGGGCATGGGCGAGTCGTCCAGCAGCACGGGGAACTGGCGGTTGGGAGAAGACATGGACGACGACCGGCTGGACGCGGCCCCAGACAAGACGTTTTCCATGCTCCGCTCGGTGGTGGGCGAGGTCATGAGGCCCGTGATGCTATTTGCCTTTCGCTGAGACTTCCATCGCGCGATGCTGGGGAAGCGGTTGCCGAGCCGGGAGGTGATGGCAGTAAAGGTCGATTCGCCGCTCATGATGCGCTTCTTCTTGGGGTACTGGGAATCGCCGGAGAAGTCGCTGTCGCTGAGAAAGCCGAGGTCGTAGTCAATGTCGAGCTCGCCCGCCATTTCGCCGTGCAGCAGCTCTTGGGAGGTATTGAGGTGTTCGCATGCCTGGTCGCCTACAGGACCGGGGAAGAAGAAACACACTGGTCAGCCATGGAAGCCCACCGGGATAGGGATAAGGGTAGGCTTTGAGAGCACCACTTACATAGACAGTACATGCCAAGGTTGTCGCTCAAGTCGTCGTCGGAGTCCTCCTCTTGCTCCAACTCGTCCTCTCGTTCCAAAGGCTCTTCCTGGACATCAGGCAGCTGGCGGATGCTGGATTTGGAGGCCGTGGCATGCTGGGCCACGGGCGAAGCAGACCCCTCTTGCGGGGGGATCTGCGGCAACTCGAGAGACGAGGTTGAGCTGGAGTATCGCAGGGGAACGCCTCGGTTGGAAAAGGTGGGAGTCAGGGGCGAGGCAACGTCGGAGGACGAGGAATTCGTGGTGTAGTAGACGTATGAAAGGTCACATGGCTCGAGAGAGACGCCCTCGTCCATGGCGGCGCTCTTGCGATCCTGAGCCAACTGCGGCAGCAGCAGGTCTCTAATCTGGGGCGACATGCCTCCCTCCCACGGCGGCGAGGTCAAGGACGGAGTCGGTAGTCTTGTCGATAATGGGATATCGTAGCAGTAGCAGTAGCAGCAGCAGCAGCAGACAGTTGCGGGCGGGTAATCAAGGTCTGGTAAGATGGATGGACGGTTGCTCTTTGTTTGTAAGCTGGTCGGTCTCGAGCGAGTACGGAGCGTCAAGTCAGTGGTTGGTTGGCCTGCTGCGTGTTCGAGGGTCGTAACAAGTGTCGACGGCGAGGACAAAGAAATTGAAGGGCACAAAGGCAATGGCTCTATCGCGGTCGACACGGTCTATGTATATCGAATCGAGGTCTTGGTCTCGAGGGGGAGAGGGAACGAAAGGGAAGCGGGAACAAGCACGTAAAAAAGAGTCACGGATGGAAAAGACGAAGTGGAGCCGACGATTTTGCCTGTGTGTGTGTGGCAGCAAGGCTAAAAGGTGCTCCGGACGTGTGGTAGCAGCACTGGAGAAGTTACAGCGAGTGGCCTCTGCTAAAAGCTAGCAGGGGGGACCCCACCAGCAGGGATTAGGTCGGTCGGCATCAGAAGCTACAAAGAGTACAAAGGGTACAAAGATACAAAGATACAAAGGCTTCCTTTTTTAGCGCAAGAGACGGGAGGTACAAAGATACAACGATACTTACAAAGCGACATGGGGGGTTGGTTGGTACCCATTCCAACCAGTGCATGGAGAGAGAAGAGAGCACAGGACAGGACGCTGCTGGGCTGGTTAGGCGACATTAGCGTGGGTGGGTAGCACTGGGACTGAGTCGAATGCGAATGAATTGGGTCCCAACGGTACGTACCCAAAACAGCCCCGTATGGGTCCAGGTCTCTCTCTGTTCTGTTCTGTTCTGTTCACTGCACCGCACCGGTACCGCCAGTCCAGTCCAGTGGCTTTGCTTTGCTGTGCTCTGATTGATTCCTTTGGCTTCCAGCGTCTCTCTCTCGTCTCGTCTCGTCTCCCAGCGTCTCCGGCAGCGGGCTCTGGCTGGGCTGCTCAGGCGCTACTAGAAGGCAGTGGCGTGTCTGCGCTTTTGCCTGCGGCCGAGGCCAGGGTGAAGGCCTCTACTAAACTGGCAAACAATCAACGGCTCGGCTGGGCTGGGATGGGATGGACTGGGCTCTGCTGGGCTCTACTGATCTGTGCTGGGCTTGCAAGTCGAGTGCTTGGACGGGGACAAAGACCCCCGAGGCCTATATCCGATGCCCATATACGATGCAATACGCAGTAGAGTATGCAGAGGGCCCGTACACAATATACAATCCATGGATATTAACACAATACGCAATCAATACCTTATGCACCATGGCAGCCTCAGCCAGCCTCTCTTCTTCCCTGGCACGTCCGCGGCGCTGCTACCGGCGGTCTGCAACAAGTACCACGGACCCGGAAGCACTGCCAGCGAAGCCGTGGCGGGGCTGTACCGGATACCCCATCGCCATGTTTCGCACATGCGGGCCCGGTCATGGCAGCCCAGCCCAGGCTGTATCGGTCAGGTCAGGTCAGCCAGCCATTTTTTTCTTTTTTCCAATTGTCAGCAGTTCCCTCGCGCTGCTGCTAGTGGGCGGCGAAAGAAGAGAGAAAAACTTCGCTGGGCAGAGTGTGCAGGCATCGGATCCATTGCACGCTCCAATGCAATCAGCGGCGTAGCTTTAAAACCGCCCGGAGTTGGTAAGCAGCGAGGGAGTGAGAAAACGTTCCAGTCGATGGTTGAGCGGCGAAAAAAAAAAAAAAAAAAAAAAAAACAGCACAGCACAGCACAGCACTCGGAACTGAGGGGCGCTAGGTAGAAGCCGAGAGACGCACGAGACCCTCGGCCAAAGCTGCTAAGAAAAGAAACATTCGCCCCGGAGCGCTGAAGAATGATCGGCCTTAAGCGCCCACCTCCAGACGACGGCAAGACAAGTTGCGTGTTTGCTTGCTGTTTGTTTGTTTGTTTGCTTGCGTGTTTGTTGTCGGTATGCGCGCGCGTGTAGGGTGATGCTCAGATGAATTAGTATGTACCTTGGATACATGTAATGCCAGTATCCAAGCCTGCAAGTACCGCAAGTACATGGATGTGCCCAGCCGCCTTCGGGGCGTCTAGCACCTCGTAGTGACTTGTTGCAGCGCTGAAGCCACTGGCCCTCTAGCGAGCAGCAACGTTCTTGCGCCGCCGCCATCCAGATGAGGCATCACATCTACAGCTGTCATCAGCTTGGCTGCTCAGTATACACTACTAGGTACTAAAGCTACTGCATCTTGATGCTGCTCGTACTTGTGCTAGTACTCGTATTGATTGATGAATCTTGATTTCCAAGTGTATAACTGATATCAATTGATCCCTCTTGACCATCCACTACGTCACGTACCGACCATAGAGGTCATCTGTTGAATCATCCATACACGCTCCACGCTCCATGCCCTCTTCTTCCCCTCACTTCTGCCCGCCATCATCATCCATCACCGCTCTTCCTCTCGTCATCCCACAGCATCCACCGGAGCAGCAAGCGCAAGCACACGCACACGCACAAGCACAATCCAACAGAAAACCAGCACAGCACAGCACAGCCGGGGAACCTCCCGTCCACGTGTTGCCGCGCTCACATTGGGCGCCTGGCTGGAAACCCGGTGTGATGAGCTCTGCTCTGTGGCCTCTGGATGCAGATGCAGCTGCAGCTTCTCAAGCACGCATGCAGCCCGTCCAGCCGCCTCTTGGTCTCCCCGCCCGCTTCTCATACCCGATCATGGTGATGGAATAGTAGAATAAGCGCCTTTTTGCTTTCGCTCTACTCCCAACTCGTCAGCAAGATCCAGATTCCGCGTCTGCGGCCAGCGGTTCTCTGCGCTTTGCGGTGGCTGCCAACCCCCCCGTTCCCTCGTCTGGCTCCAATCGAGCCCCCCCTTTGGCCGGCCTCGCTCACGACCGTCTTCCGTCCCTCTCCAGTTTCTCCTCTGGTGCCCCTCCAAGCTCCAAGGTCCGAGGCTGGGGAGGCCAGCAAAGCACCGCCAGAATCAACAAAGTCGCGGCCAAGTCAGCGGCAAGAGGGTCGATCTGGGGGCGGTTGGGAAGCGAGACGCCAGCACTGACACCAGCATCATCAGACAAGACCCGGCAAAAGAGACAAGTGACCATGCTGAGGTGGGCTTAGGCTTGGGCCGGCACAGAGGTTCAAAGTCCTAGGCCTACACGTGAGGGCCAGAAATGGTCAGAGGCCCATTCTGACGTGGTGCGAATGCAACGAAAAGGCGTTTTGCTGGCGATCCCTGCCACTGCCAATCCCTCTCGCCGAGGCAGCGCATCACGGCGAGCATCTGCCCAATCGAATCGGCCACACCATTCACTCGCTGCCGGCCACTCGATTTCTGATTCTTCTTCTATTTTTGATTTGCTAAAAATTGTCATTTGTCTCATCTACGAGCACACCCTGCTATGCTACGGCCGCTTGCAAAGTACATCTACCCGCCTGCAAGTGCTCGGATGCAAGCAGAGCAAGGCATGCATCGCTCACATTGATCAATGTCACACACATGGCGCCAACCTCGCAAACCAGAGACGCAGAATACCTACTCGCGTGCACCGCGACCCCATCGCCCACCGCCCACCGCCCACCGCCTTGTGCAAAGCAAAGCAAAGCAAATAATGGGACAAGGAGGCGGCCGAGTCAAGCAAAGCAGTCATCCAGAGCAAGCAGAATCTTGAGCCCCGGGGAAATCGGGGGGAGACTTTCGGCGACAGCAGCGGGAGGCTCCTCCGCCTCGCCTCGAACGCTGGGCGCTGGGGCCAACCAAGTGGCATGGACACAACCTGGCTATAACATGGGCCTGGCCCTGTGCCGGCATCGCTCGCTCTTCAGGTGACAACAACTTACGCCAGGCTCTTGTGTCGTTTCCCACATGCGGGCTTACAGTACCCATCCAAATCGTCTCGATCTCGTACATACGAGTACATGATGCTTCTCCAACAGCGTCGACGTGGTTTCTCCAGAGCGAAAAGGGCGGCGGCGGTGACATCCAGAGGACCCGTACCAACGCCATCAAGCTTCTTGTTCCAGCATTAGCACAAACAACATCTCAGTGTGTTCGCAGCCCTATGCCGAATCAAGGCCTAGCGCCACGCTCTGGATGCGAAAAGCCTCTTACCCGGATGCACCTTTGCCAGACCGGTGTGTTTTGCAAGTACGAGTACATGCTCGAACGAGTATCCCGCCCTTTGGTACGGTACTTTGACCCCCTGGTTAGCTTGAGAAGAAGGATAGAAAAAGCAAAGAGCTTGAAAAGAAGAAATCAAAGAGCGGGTTTGCAAGGGTCTTTGAGCTGGATCCGCCGCCCAGTGCCAACGCAATCGGGCCCTCTGTCTAGGCCCAATCCTTTAGACTCTGCCATCCAAGCAAAATCGGAAGACTTCGAAACAGGGGAGGGTGGGAAGTGAGGGGCTCACGACCTGATCACGGCTCAGCCCGAGCAGGGCTCCATGGTGGTTGAAAGTTTTTTTTCCTAATGCTTTCCTCGCTTGTCTTTTGGGGGGCTCAAGTTTGGCAGCTTCTTCAGCCTCCTTTATTCTCAACCCTGCACAAGCCGGCTGCGCCGACTTGAATTTTTTTTTTCTTCGCCTCCCCTATGCACAGCTGTTTCAGATCAGCCTAGGGTCGGCAGTTCGTCTGGCGGCTTTCTGGGGGCCTGACCAGACAAGAGACGATATGGCTATTCCCATGAACGGCCAGCGTCGCATTTCACAGAGCCAGAAAAAGGAGTCGCGAAAAGGGATCATGTCATTGTCGGACGAGTGCTTGGTATGCTACTAACACTGGGAGTCTTCCGACTCTTGGACGCAGAGCAGCCAACACCGTTGAGCGGGAGAAATCGCTCCGTCTCTCAGGAGTGAGTGTGCCATGATGACCGACAGGACTGAGGTTGAATGCACGAAATCAAATGCTCCGCCTGTACACGCGTATTCTGTGCAGGTCATCTTTGTCTTTTTCTGCCTGGCATCTCATTACTGATATCCCACCTGAACTCTATAACATATCCCGTAGCGTCCCAGACCTTGCCTTGTCCCGATGCTCCAGCCAGAGATGGTTAGTCAGCGCATCCCCCGGCACTGGGAACAGGAGGCCATCTCCGGAGCGCGAATCCTTGCATCTCTGGGGCTTGGCTACCAACGGCTTGCTTGCTTGCCAGGTTCATTCATTGTTCCTAGGCCCGACCACACTGGCGGGTTCCGAGATGGATGGTGGATGGCACAATTGTATCACCTTGGCACGCTATTCGACTCGAGAGGTCTGGATGAACTGAAGCCACTCGGGGGGTTGCATTTAGCCTCTGGGCGATTGCAGATGCTGTTGGCAGAGCCCATGTTCATTTTTCCCTTTGATGTTCATTTTTCCCTTTTTTTTTCCAATTTTTTCCAAATTGAAATGTCCCGTTTCGATTGCAGCTTGAATGCGTTCTGCTCGGCGCACAACCCTCATCGACCTTGTACACCCGCTGCACGAAACATCAAGGTTTCCAATCGGCGATATTGCTTTGCTTGTGCGAGTCCAGATACCAATTTCATGTAACTCCCACGCCTCTAACCCGGCCGGATTCGGACACCACTGCGAACAACGATACAAATCCTCGCCACCACAAACACGGGTATCCTTTCACATGCTTTCAGGGAAAACCCAGCCTATCTCGTTGCACAGCCTACCCGCGAGGGGAAATCCCCAGGTTTAAGCGCCATCACGTCCCATCAAGCACTTGCACTTGCACAGCGTCCAGTGGTCGCATTTCTCGTACAACACTCGACTCACTCATGATGGCCGCCAAAAGGGGAATCTGAACAAAAAACGTCAGTTGAACAAGCGATACGCCTCTCTGTCATCGGGCTCCACTGAGGCGGTTGACTTGGGCCCTTTGAATGTGCTTAGCGCCCTCGATGCCAAAAGATTGTGGTTGTCTAGCCCTCGGGGCCACGTTTTTGGCAGTCTCCACGCACGCGACCTGGGCTAAAGAAGGAATTTGTATCTTTTGTTTGCAATGGCTGCGCCGTGCGGCTTTTCGATCTTGTTGTTAGTTGTCTGGAGTTTAGTTTACTTTTGTTCGGACGACTACAGCCACAACGAGAAGTCCGTTCCGGGGCACAGCGATGCTCGGCTTCTTGACTCCGTTTAACCGCTTGGTCAAAATCCTAGTTTCTTTCTTGCATATGTACGAGTATGGGGAGTGGTGAGATGGTCTGGACTTTTTGATAAAGGCCCTTGCAAGTGGCGGAAATTCATGGACGGCGTTTGATGGGGATTTGCTCGGATGGACGGGGGACTTCTGATCGGTCTAGCATCCACAGTTTTTGCCTGTGGTGCGAAGCACTACGAAGTGGACTTGGCAGCATCTTGCAATGTTAGTAATCATTGCAGTGGCGTGGACCTCTTGCAAAGGTCAGCCTAGATCCTGGATAGGCCGTCCGTTGCCTGACGTGCTGGAGACGAGGTCGACGAGCTGGTGCGTGGACAACCGATTGGTCGTCTATACGACTCCATTTACTCTTTGGGGTGCCATTGGGTTGCTACATGCAACGGGTTAACTTGCCACACCCACAATCTGCAGACATCGTCTGAAAGATGCAGGTCGATGGGCTCGGGGTTTGTCGTCGAGCTGCTTATCTTGCCCTGGACCGAGGGGGGCTTCTTCTGCTCATCCGAGATGAACAGCTGCAGCTCTAGCCGAAGCACATGCCGGCTCTTGTCCTACCACCCCTCTTGGCAAGGGCTGTGTTGCCCTCTCTGCATCTGTTGGTACCACTCACCTCACATCCCACGGACGAAAGTGCTGTGTCATTCCGGTCCGAGCCGTCATGCTGTGGTTTCTTGAACCCCAACCGTGTAACACTCCCGCCAAACGAAGCAATAATTCCCCCTCCCTCTGCGAGAAATGTGTACCCGGCAGTACGTTCTTTGTACATACCAAGACAAGGGTGGGAGCACCCCGTCAATTCACCCAAAAGCACGCATTTGGCGGGGATTTCAAGCGTGGCATGGAATTTCAACAAGCTGTCGTTCCAAAAAGCCCACGATACCGAACGGGCAAGTGGAGGTGCGGGCAGGGCTGCCATGTGGTTGGCCAATTCCCAGCCCGACGGCACTACACAAGAATGCACCCCTGCAGCTTTTTCTCACGATCAGATGCGCAAACCCTGTGCCTGGCAGTAGTCGAACTCTCTTTTTTTCGCTAGGGAACATGTTGCCGGTGAGAGGGTTTGTTAGCCAGATTGGCTAAAGATTCACTTGCAAGGAAGACCCTTTTCCTTCTTTGTTGTTGTTCTTTTGGCGTCGACAGAGGTCTCTGGTCGAGTCAATTGGCCTTGCTGGCATGAGCTACGTTCGAAGTTTGACGGCGGGGTGACATTGCTTGCAACTACTGGATTTTTCTCAAACAAGTTTCCCACGAAGCTGCTCAGGTTCGAAGCACAACGATGCAGTAACACGGACTATCGTGCGGCCGCCGGTCATCGGAAGCGTCGGGGAGTACCGTGACTAGCATGAAAGAAAACCTGCGGGACGAAAGGAATTTGAATGGCAACACCAAGGTTTTCCTGCAGTGAAACCCATGTAACATGTAATGTGATATCGAGTCACTTCTTGCAGCGAAAGGGCTTATCGACGGCGCCTTTTGACACATGAAAAGAAATGAGCTCAACGAACGGGAAGCAATGAAAGAAGAAGAGGAAAACTCTGCAAGAAGATGGCCGTTGATTGGCGATGCAGGATCCAGACGGTTCCGGCAACGGGCCCGTCCCAGCATGGATACAAATCCTTTCAGAGAAGTGTCTGCCCAAAAAGACTCCACTTGAAGCCAAAAGAATCCTGCCTGTACCTTTACTTTTTCTTTTTTCTTTTCAGAGCAACATGTGCTGTGCTCGTAATGGGTAGCACGACAGCCCGCTGTGGCTTTTGGGCAGCTTTTTGGGGGCTAGCTACTGCTGCAACTCTGAACAAGGATCTTGGAGATGGATGGTGGGAGGGCGTTGGCCTAACGGGAGATTTTTTTTTACACAACCTCAAGGGGGAAAAGATGTTTGAAAGGACATGTGCCAGTGTCATGCAAGGCGCATTTTCAGCTGGCCAATTGGCATCAGGGCGAGTGAAGCCGGTTCCTGGGGCGTCCTTTCAGC